CCAGCTGCAAAGTGAGCACAAACAAAGCAGAGTGAAGTTCCGTAAAGGACAAAGCGGATTGCTGTGGCTCCTTTGTTTCCCGTAGCACCACCCAAGCCGGTTTTGACTGAGTCAGTTGCAACGTCTCTGATAAACGGAGCCTGTTCGGGTTTAACAAAGAGGAAAAGACACACTCCTACAAGCTGAACATAAGTCAACATCACATAATCTCGATCTCTAGACAGTATCTTTTGTAGCTCTTCAGCCCACATTTCTGCATTTTCTGAACTTGCAGCCATGATGTTACTGGCATTCAAATCAACAATTTCTTCAAAGCCTACAGCAAATATGTCGACTGGTGTTCCATCATTTTCATCTACAAGTGAATGAGAAGAAGCTTCACTAGGATCGAGTAGCCAGTCTGACAGAGATACGTCTTTGTATACGACACTTCTAAAGTGTTTTCCACCATTGACGTTGTATGTTCCAATAGCGACTCTGATTCTTTGAGGATGAATGTATTCTCCTGAACGTTTGCACATTTCTCTCAAGACGTTGGTTGGAGCATGAAGCATACTTCTATCCAGCAAAATCCTTGCACGATCAGCGAGTTCACTGTTCAGTGTGTTACCCAGCAACAAAACATCTATAGCTTCTTGTTTGCTGTTGTCTAATAGGTTATTTTGGATTGTCCGAGCAGCTGATCTTGCACCATCCATGATTTTAGAGCCTCCTTGGATAGCACCTGTTCCTGCATATATTTTACTGACTTCATTACCATTGTTTACCCACATCTGGCGAAAAACTTCTTCAAATCTTGATACAATTTGTTGCTTCTCGTGCAGGCTCAGTAGTTCTAGCTGTTTGCTCAAAATCAGCAGTCCAATAAATGTCTGAACACAGTTGGTTCTGTCAAGACAATCCAAACAATTTGTTCTTAATGTTCCCCTTTGTTCTTGTAGTACCTCATCTTCTTTAGAATAAAAGAATGAATATGCTTTCAAGTAAGCGTCCATTTTAGCTTTAAGTTTACTGAGATTTTTAGTATTTCCGCCTCTGCACTCTTGATGATAATCAAAAACAATATGAGGTACATCATTATGATGCTCTGACTTGTGATGGTGGCTTTGAAAAAGCTGACTTAGCATGGCCTCACCTTCTTTGCTGCCAATTAAGCTAGTTCCAAGCAGGTTAACAATCGCTTGGTGGCCGTATCTTTCCTTGATGTACATAAGGTGTTTGCTGAATGCAGAATCTGAAGACTCCGGTCCTCGTGACATTTTCACTTTGTGAGATCCAACTTGAACTCCGGGTTGTTCCCAAAAAAGTGGTACAGATCCTCTAATTTGAAGGTATGAAGTAACTTCATTTTCCATGTATATGGCCTGTTCTGTTTCCACAAAATTTGCGACATTTCCGTCGTCATTGACACCTCTGACATTAAACCGAGTCCCAGCTCTCTCGCAGCTGAGTCTGGATATAATAACTGCTCGACCCTGACGATGACCTACATAGACTGTCCTTATTTCAACACTTCCACACATAATTTTTAGAAGCCATTGAAAACAGCTTACGCCAAAACGCATCAAGTGGATGTGAAGCATACGATTCCAGAAGAACCTGTTGTCTGTGAATGTTGTTTTGCAGCGCCTCTGGGCACAAAGGGTTATATCTATAGGTTCAACAGTTGATGACCAAGAGAAGTAAAACGTCCCAGAGTTCAGGAGTTTTCTGACTTCCGATATTCTTTCTTCATCTTGCTGTTGATTCCGAAGGGATATGAAATTAGTTTGTGTTATTCTAAATATTTCAGAATCTTTTATTTTACCGACAGATATGCACCCAGTTACCATAACTAGGTAAAGTAATGCGTTTTCTCCAGCATTTAAGTTTAGCACTCCTAGACAGCCATATGCATCAAGCAGCTTGGTATATTGCCGTTTAACAGATTCCGTTTCTTGAGCTGATAAAACAGCTACAGCTTGAGATTCAAATAAAATAGAGTCATCCTTATTTCGTTGCTCTAACAAAACACTGTAGGGATTTGGAGGATTTACTTTTTCAAACACACGGAAACTTTTTCCCATAGCCATGATGAGTAAACAAGTATCAATATCAGTTACAGGCAGTAACAGGGTAATTTTTAGTTTATAACTATTGGTTTCTTAAGTTCACGCTGAAATATTTTATCAAATCAGCAAAGCTAAAGTTCCATGTCCAAATACCTCCACAAATACCTAACACCTATATAAATTTCAAAATGAATAGCCTAATATCTTAGCACTGGTCAACTGAGCGGTTATTCATGAGTGGAAAATTTCATAGTGAATGTTGACAGTTTTAGGCCATGTAATTCTAATAAATCCAACTTTGAGAGCACTAGAGTACATGACGGGCTACTTAGCCTAAATTACCAGTATGATCCTTCAAAGCGTTTGCCAGTAATCATTACTCTTGAAATAAAAAATTATCACTGAACCAATAAAAAAATCGAAAACAAATAATTACTTTTTTAAATTCTTTTAATAGATTATTGAACAAACTGCTTATTCCTTCTGAATTAATTTCTTCATTTTCAATGCACTTGTTTGGTAAATTTTCCCATCTGTTTTTTAACAATTTTGACAGTACTGATCACCTCTCTAGTGATCCACAGCTGGAAACAGTACAAACGGAACCCCAAAGACCAACGAAAATACCACAAAGCAGTTTTTTCTATTTAGTATAACCATTGACTAAGCAACGCAAGTCTACCCCTTAATGAGCAATTCACAACTTGTAATCAAACTATCAAACTGTAAAATTGGTAAATCAAACTGTAAAACCGTTGGCAAATAGATAAACAAAGTAGACTTCTCCTCATCCCATTGTAAATTTTGTAGCTCATTTTACTGAATTTCCCTATATGGAAGTAGCTATTACCGTAGATGGCACGGTAAGACCTAGGCCCGGGACCGATTTAATTTTCATTTTGATGTCCTCACTCCCCAGAGGCCAAAAACACAATTCGTTCAAATTTTTATGTATCAATATTTAATACACGCATACACACACACATCTAATTAAATAATCTAATTAAATTTCATTATCACTCATGTTATTCAATGCAAACAATTTTTTTGAGGACTAGTGTTAAAAGTTTGATTATCTATTAAACAATTTGTTTATTTTTTATTATATAACTATGTATGTATACTTGTGTATGCATTTCACATGACATTATTGTATATTTCATGTTTTAGATCTAAGTTGTATGACGATTGTCAATACACTGTATTTTTTGTGTTTCAATGAAAATAAATATTCTTGATTCACACAGACATCACTTCGAAAACCACCCAGGGGGACCCAAAACGAATATATCATCTCAAACTCAAACTCGAAAATTTTTACGAAAACAATACTTTCTCCATATACTATGGTAAAGGGGAGAAAGTAATATTGTAAATTTAAAATTCTCGTGTTATTGTTATGGAGAATATTGTAACATGTTGTAGTTTGCTTGTTTGTGGATATTATATTTTGACCAAACTTGGCAAATTTATTTATTTTATACATTATAAGTCATTAATATTATTTATTTTATAAGTCATTAATATTTTACTAAAAAACACCCTTTATTCGTTTTCTTGTAGCAGCAAACCTAGGTACTCATTAACCTAATGTTTTTTTTTTTAATAGATTTAATTATGAACCAAATTATGACTTATGACTTATTAAAAATTTATTCAGACCAATGGGAATTCGCTTAGTCGGAAGGTTTGCTGCGGTGGGGGTATTATTTAAGTATGTCCGTGTTCGTGTCCGTGTTTGTGTGTGAATGTACCATATGTGTATCGACGACCTTCTGATGAAGTGATCATTAATTGACATCCACTGGACTCCTGAAGATGACTTCTTCATGAAGTCTAAACGAGTTGCGTGACATTAATTGCGACTATTGGATTACTAGAAGCAGGTATTTAAACCAATTTATATATTCAACGTAATTCGGAGGCTAACGTCAAAAATGTCTATCAAATGTTTATGGAAGGTTCCGGCATTGATTGGGAAGATGTATAATCAATGGTTCCAGCTTTTGTTTTAGTTGTCTTTGTTAATGACTCAATCTGATCGCCTGCTGACTCTGAATCTGATCCTATGCTGATCGCTGAATTTTTATTTCAGGATCAGTGTTGCCTACAGTATTATTTTGAGGCTTCTGATTGGCTGAGAGAACATCATTACAGCGACGATTCGATTGAAGCCAACGACCTCGGTGGTGTAGTGGATAGAGTGCTGGGCTTTAGATCCGAAGGACCCGAGTTCGAATCCCACCCGTAGCACTATTTTTTGTACTGGATTTTTTCATTATCAACAAGTTTGGTTGGTTTGGTTAGGTTATGACGGTTTTATTTTATAATTAAAACATTATGAAATTGAATTTGACCCATTTATAGTTTTATTTTATGAACGGAAATATTTTTTTCTGTTAAGCCTTCATTTGATTTTTCATTATTAGCAAGTCTGGTTAGTTTGGTTAGGTTATGATAGTTTAATTTTAGAATAAAAAATAAAAAATAGGATATGAGGCATTTATAATTTTATTTTATGAACATAACTATTTTTTCGATTAATAAACCTTCATTAGATTTTTTCATTGTCAGCACGTTTGGTTGGTTTGGTTAGGTTATAACGGTTTAATTTCATAATAAAAAATATAAAATTGAATTTGAGGCATTTATAATTTTATTCTATGAACAAAAATAATTTTTCAATTACTAAACCTTCGTTATAGTCAATCAGAAGCCTCTAAATGACACTGTTGGCAAAATTAATCCTGAAAAACAAATTGTGCATCCTGATCCTGCCTGATCAGACTTCGACTTCAGTCAGACAGAGAGAGCTAACTTGATTTCTATTTTCATTTTCTGTCTGATGCTAATCGAATCGAATCGAGAATCGATGGCGTAGGCGTCCTGACTCCTGGCGTCTCGGTCTCGGTAACCCCAAACAAGTACTCTTGTCATGTCATACAAGTAATTAATTGTTCCATGTTTCACAGACCAAAACTTTAGATTAAAATATTAAGATAGTAAAAAATAATACTCATTTCGGTTTTTAATCAGGCAATTAGTAAAAAGTGGTTTCTTACTACCAAAATGAGCGAATTGGACTCGTTGTACGGAAGCTCCATATCCGTGGATACAATGAAAACTATTGCTGAAAGTATTGGTATTGGAAGTCTTCCTGACGAAGGTGCCAGAGAGTTAGCTGAAGATATAACGTATCGGCTAAAGCACGTCATTCAGGTTTGGTTTTGCAGTATTTTTCATATCTAGCTTAGGTGTGCTCAAAATTATTCATAGGGTGTCCAAAGTTGTAGGTTAGGTCTATGTTGACTATCCTTATATTACTAGGCTTACTGCTACTGTCAACCTGAATTGAATTAGAGATGGACATCGATAGGTCAACCATCGATGTTCATCATCTATGCCAACCATTGATGTACGGTACTTACCAAAAACATCGATGTTTTCTATAACATCAATGTTCGGTAATTATTTACCCTATTTACACTGGGATTTGATGTAATTTTGATATGTATACTTACAGTATTTTTAACGCTGAATCCAAAAATGCAATCAGTTTTGGTCGGAGAGATTCCTAAGTGGCCGTACAATTATATAATTAATATTAAGCTTCGGTTTTGTTGATATCGCTTGCGCATTTTTGATATCGTTATTTCATTGTGTTTCACCCACTATTTAATTGTGCAAAAACAGTCTGGAAGTTGCATAAATTAATGAGTCGGTTCATTATAACCTAACCTTTACCTTCCTAATCTAACCTCACTTCAAAACACTTAATACAGTCACGAATCCGCATAAAACCCGACCTACCTTCCTCACATGCCTAAATAAGAACTGATCATTTGGTTTCAAAACGAATTGATTTGATTTCATTCCGCATTAGATCAAGTATAAACAGTTGTTTGCTCTTCTCGCTCAGTCCTCACTCTTCACTCAGTACGGACCCGTCCAGACCACGCCATATTGCCATTACCTTCAGTACCGCTCAATTATCCTTGTTAGATTCGTAATCCTAACCTTCGTTTTACGGCCGCTACCGCCACTTAGGAATCTCTCCGACCAAAACTGATTGCATTTTTGGATTCAGCGTTAAAAATACTGTAAGTAGACATATACAAATTACATCATATCCCAGTGTAAATACGGTAAATATTTGCCCAATGTTCTATTAACCCTCCAACTGGCAGCACGACTATACCTAAAAGTCCCCGCAGGTGGTTTCTGTAGTGGCAGCAACTATAATAGTCACGTTTTGCAAGTTTTTGGTATATAGGCCTAACTCAAAATAAATGACTAAAAACGATTGTAAGTTAGAAAGGAATAATTTTCATACCGTTAGAAAGATAAGAAATCTAATGGTAATTCTGAGCAATTACTTGGTCAACCCCAATTTTTTTCATACTTCACTACGGTCATCAGGATGTTCTTAGAAAACAAGAAACATATAATTTAAGCCCCGCAAGGTTAAGTTAAGTTAGGTTATGAATTAACCCAACCTAACCAAACATAACGGTACCTACTGTCGCAACTGGCCTTAGAGATGTATGTGAAACTAAAAAAACATAATTCAGCCCCGAATATACCGGTATGTTATATAAAAATAGAAATTACCTCAGTAATCGCAGGCTTCATTGTCCTCATCTGAGTCAGCGGCAACTGAATCAGTTTTCTGTAGCGATGGTTCCCTGTTGTAAACTTCACCGATAGCCCGAAACAAGTGGTGTAGACTCGATTCTATTCCAACAGTTAAACTGTGTTTTTCTTCATTTAACGTCATCGACCCGCCACATTGTGGACACACTTTGGTACGTTGCAAAACGCTGTGTTCGTACAAAAAACGTGTTAACTTTTCCTGATCTTCACTTAAAACCGTGAAACTAAGTGCAACGAGTTCTCACACCTGTCACATAAAAAAGGATTAAGGAACCACTAGCCATAGCCATAACGGTACTGTCACAACTGGCCTTCCGCGCGTCTCCCACAAGCCACTGTTATCGCTTGGAATTTGAAAGTTCTTATTGCTCTGCAACCTGTACGATGGCCTGTGGGGCTTAAATGATAGGTATGTTTCTTGTTTTCTAAGAACATCCTGATGACCGTAGTAAAGTATGAAAAAAATTGGGGTTGACCAAGTAATTGCTCAGAATTACCAATCTAATCTTGCAGCTTTGATACAAAGATGAACTTTAACTTATAAAAAAAAAGAGATTAGGCCTACTGTATTTGAGCACTAAAGTGAATGAAAATTTCGAGCAAAGTTAGTTGCAGCCATGTTACGTGTCACAAAACTGCCAAATACAGTACCTAAGTTTCAAAAATTATAACAAGCGATATTTTTTTGTCTAAAAAGAAACAGGTGCTACCACTGCAATCCTATATATAATACGAGTAAAGTTTGAATACTTGTCAACTCGATCTGGGAATCGGCTCTAACAAAAACGTTTATATTTACGGAATAACTAAGTTCTGGGTCAAAAATAAGTTCTAGACCAGTCGTATAGCCAGGAAGAATCTATTTTCGCCATAATATGAGTACAAACTTTTGAAAATTTAACATGGGCCTTATGAGAAAACATTCCGCCATTGTTGTCATTTTGTTTACATTTTAAGACATAACTTGACGTTCTGTACCCACGGGCACCTTAGCTTGCGCATGCGCAGAAGTTCTTTATCCACAGTATACTAGCAAAACAAAATACAGTACAAAAGGAAAAACATCAGTTGTTACTATTAAGCAAAGATTAAACTGAACTCGATACATAGTAGTCAAGGGTAGCAGTGTGGAGTGTGGGATCTGTTAATGACGATTAGATTACGGTATCTGAAATTTTAAAATGCAATGTAAAGGGAGGGAAACAGGTCCGTGACGTAGGAAGTGATGAAGGAAGTAGTTAAAGGTGAGCAGTCTGGAGTGTGGGAACTGTTTACAACGATTATATTAAGATATCTGCAATCCTAAAATGATATGGGAAGGGAGGGAAACAGGTCCATGACGTAGGAAGTGGTAAAGGAAGTAGTCAAGGCGAGTAGTCTGGAGTGTGGGAACTGTTTATGACGATTAGATTAAGGTATCTGCAATCTTAAAATGATATAGGAAGGGAGGGAAACAGGTCCGCGACATAGGAAGTGGCGAAGGAAGTTGTGAAGGCGAGTAGTCCGGAGTGTGGGCACTGTTTTTGAAGATAAGATTAAGGTATCTGCAATCATAAAATGAGATCGGGAGGGAGGGAAACAGGTCCGCGACGTAGGAAGTGGTGAAGGAAGTAGTCATAGCGAGTAGTCCGGAGTGTGTGAACTGTTTTTGAAGATAAGATTAAGGTATTTGAAATCTTAAAATTCTATGGGATGGGAGGGAAACAGGTCCGCGACGTAAGAAGTGGTGAAGGAAGTAGTCAAGGTGAGTAGTCCGAAGTGTGGGTACTGTTTTTAAAGATTAGATTAAGGTATCTGCAATCTTAAAATGATATGGGAAGGGAGGGAAACAGGTCCACGACGTAGGAAGTGGTGAAGGGTTTAGTAAATGCGAGTAGTCCAGAGTGTGTGAACTTTTTATGACGATTAATTTAAGATATTTGCAATCCTAAAATGAAATGCTATGGGGAGGGGGGAAACAAGTTCGCGACGTAGGAAGTGGTGAAGGAAGTAGTCCAGGCGAGTAGTCCGGAGTGTGGGAACTGCTTTTGAAGATTAGATTAAGGTATTTGCAATCTTAAAATGATATGGGGAGGGAGGTAAACAGGGCCGCGACGTAGGAAGTGGTGAAGGAAGTAGTCAAAGCGAGTAGTCTGGAGTGTGGGATCTGTTTATGACGATTAGATTAAGGTTTCTGCAATCTTAAAATGCTATGAGAAGGGAGGGAAAAAGGTCCGCGACGTAGGAAGTGGTGAAGGAAGTAGTAAAGGCGAGCAGTCCGGAGTTCGGGAACTGTTTATGACGATTGGATTAAGGTATCTGCAATCCTAAAATGCTATGGAAAGGGAGGGAAACAGGTCTGCGACGTAGGAAGTGGTAAAGGTAGTAGTAAAGGCAAGCAGTCCGGAGTGCGGGAACAGTTTATGACGATTGAATTAAGGTATCTGCAATCTTAAAATGCTATTGGAAGGGAAGGAAACAGATCCACGACGTAGGAAGTGGTGAACGAAGTAGTAAAGGCGAGCAGTGTGGAGTTTGGGAATGGATTAATGTATCTGCAATACTAAGACTGCTTTCATATTAAACTAATGATTTTACCTGAGCAAAGCTCGGTCCCCAGGTACTAAGAAATAAATTTCCTATATTACTGCGCAAAAATAATTTTTATATAGGCCTACCTACATTTTATTCTCTGAAATATATAATTATCCGTATGATAATTGATAATGTAGGCGATCTCATTCGAAAATTCATGAAATTCTGTGCATTGTGGTATTTTATTGTTATAGATTGCACCGCTGGTGCTGAAGTTACAGGTTTTATTTTTCGTGAATATTTGTCTGACTAACTAACCTCAATCTCTATTGACCAACAACTAAAAAGTCGAGTTTTGGTGTGATTTTACTTAAATAGGTAGGCCTAGGTATTAATTTAAATCGTGACTTATAACACAGAAAACATACTACTATAACCCAGAATGCCAACCGCATTGTAAAAAGCGTTAAGTACTTTGAGAGAGTTTTGCCTGTCAATTCGTAGGCAGCGCCACCAGCGTTGCTATGCTGAGTGCAATACCATCAATGTAAAATGCATTTAACATAGATAGAAATACATTGATGTTTTGAAAACTTAGACTATTGTTGGTCATCCCTAACCTGAAATCACACAGCTCCTCATATTTGTAGGGTACAGAACACTGTGGTCAGAACTCTGTAAATGTTTTACACCATTCCGTAAAAGCTTTTAAGTTTTAAGTAACTTACAGTAGCTACATAACAAAATCCAACAGTTAAGTATAAGTTGACTATTTATTTTAGGATGCAGCAAAGTTCATGCACCATGGAAAACGGATAAAACTTTCAACTTCAGATGTTGATAACGCTCTAAAGTCAAAGAACATAGAGGTAAGTTAAGTAAGTTATTCAATATCAAAGTCAGTTAGTAGATATGCCAGTGTCTGTATAACTGGTCTCTTGTCATTGATGCAAGATTATAACTTTATATTTTTATTGATTCTGCTTTTAAAACCAAATAAACTTTATGCATTTTTTCTCAAGATTAGGCTAACCACTTTAAACCAATAAATCTATTTCAATTAGTATTAGACATAACTTGAATAATTTTTTGTTAAATAGGCCTATCATATCTTCATCGTTTTATTTCAGCCACTTTATGGATTTCACGTTCCTGACTTTATTCCGTTTCGTTTTGCTTCGGGTGGTGGACGAGAGCTTCACTTCACCGAGGAAAAGGAAGTTGATTTAAATGAAATAATCAACGGGCCAGTTTCTAAATTGCCGTTGGAGGTTACTCTGAGAGGTAGGTCCTAGTTTCTAATGCACTACAGGGTACTTTCCTGTTAAAGGGAACATTCATTATTATCGATGATTTTTTTTTCGATATATCGATATTTTTGTTTTCCGATCAGATCTATTACAAATTGACAACAACAACTAACTGATCTTGTTTAGGCTAAAATAGTCTATATGGATTAAGAAATGAAACTGTTCTAAGCTAACCTAACATAACCAACCAAACTTGCTGTACCATATTTTAAAACTTCCGTTTGGGTTTGATAATTGGAAAGGCAAGTTAAACACGGAATTTTTAATTGTTACAGCAAGTTTGGTTAGTTATGTTAGGTTATTTTTTTAGAACAGTTTCATATACTGAACAATATTTATCTTAGTTGTCAGCTGATATGTTTCAATTTGTTAATATCGATATATCGAAAAAAATCATCGATAATAATGAATGTTCCCTTTAACAGGAAAGTACCCACTACAGTATCAGATCTTATTTTTCGCCTAGTTAATTTCACTGACAGATTATACCCTACTATTTTTCTTTTGGTAAGTTAGGCCCTACTCATTTTAATACTTATTGTAAGTTGTGTAAAGACAAAAACATATCTTATTTCTGATATTTTAGGTTGTGTTGTGTCATAGCTTATTGTGGAACGAGTAATTGTTTTGTACTGTGATAATTACAAAATATAAAAAAAATATTCTAGAAAGCAAAACCGGAGTCCCAATGAAAAAGGAAAATTAATTAAAATTGCAGGTAAAAAGATTACAAAAGATTTTTTTGTCGATTTGTATTCTGAACCAAAACCTATACTGGTACTCCGGTACTTTGGTATTATCCGGAGGCCACCCATATACAGCGCACTGCGGCGGTTGTGTTAGGTTGGGTTATCATAAATATGTTTGTAGGACTTTCTTCGTTTTGTTTTGGATCGAACGATACCAGATGAGTCATACTTTGGTCCGCCAAATCCCCTCCAAGTAGGCCAAGGTCAGGTCGTTGACCGGAGCGTGCGCATCACCTGTCACTGCGCCTGTATCTGGATCAGTGTCCTGAGTGATGACTCATCTGGTATCGTTCAATTCACAACGAAATGAGGAAAGTCTTACAAACATATTAATGTTAACCCAACCTAACATAACCGCCGCAGCGCGCTGTATACCTACTTGGTGGAGTATATTTGGCAGCTAGCGGTGGTGACGCATTCAACTCCATCCTCACCGACATCGCTGTATTCTGAAAGGCAGAACTCTAAGGCCGCTTATCGTAATCATGTCAAATTTGGACAGTAATTAAGCGTCTTCATCTGACAAAGCAAATAAAGTTTGCAATCCTTGGCTATTTGTAAAAGTAAAGGCCTACTTACTAGGGGTGTGCGAGTATTCGAACATCGAGCTTTTTCGAGCCGAATAGCGTCCTATTCGGCTCGGCTCGTGATTTTCAAAAAGTTTGAAATGTTCGAGCCGAATACTTATTGAACTAGCAAATAAAAATTAAATTAATAAATAAGGAACTAACTTTCATTTAAATTTACTCTCCGTTTCATAATTCTGTCTTGATAAGCAAGAACCTCAGCTCAGTCAAGACGCAATGATTATCGATCGTAATTTTGAGGAAACTACCACCTATCGCGTTGTCTTTCCAACACAACTATTCGTATCGTAATATACAACGCAGTGCGAGTGCGTGATTGGCTAAGTCGCTATGACGACACACGGTTGCCACGGCAACCTACATTGCGCACTGAGCACTGCGCCTTGTGTGGGAGGGGAGATTATACCAACAAACTATTTCAGGAATTCTATTTTGGGACGGATGAAAGATAAGGAAGAAACAAAAGTGGTCACGTGTGCAAATGTAGTGGGCGACACAATAAGGCTGTAAACGTAAACGAGTATCGTCGTGTCGTTGTTCCTTGTTTGTTTACTTTTTAAGATTCCTTATCAAACGCCCCTATCTGCTATCTCTCTTTCTCTCTCTCTCTAACAATGTACTGATTAAACAAGATTGTGGTTGACGACTTTTCTACTTATAAGTTTCCCTGCGGTTATTTTAGTTCAATCAATCCCATAACCTTTCTAATGTTTATCAAAATAATTAATTAATATGTTTTATATTTTATTTCCTTTAAACCAACCCCTATTTACCATCTGTATTTTATAGAATAAAATGTTTGTTTATAAAGTTTGACTGGCCACACAATTTTGTACCTATTTTATTTTGTATAAAAGTAACAGTTACTTTGAGGATTATATATATATCAATAAGTGGCGCGTGCTGTAATGAGTGCTTTTTATTTTCAAAATAAGTAATGAGTTATTAATTTTTGATAGTACGGGTCATTAAATACCATAATGTGATGTAGTTTCCTATTTGTATCTTGCAAATAATAATAATTGATAGTTAATTCTGGAAATGAAAAATAGTGATCGCATTCATAAACCTGTTGTCAAAACAGCAACGAGGGTGTAAGGGTTTATTGTTTCAGACGCAAGGGTGTTTCAAGGACAAAGTGTTGGGCCACCCGGATGGGGGGGGGAGGGGGCGGTGAGACTGTGTGAAGGGGAGGAAACTGGTTTTGGCTATTTATTGATTAGTTCGCCGACCCTTCTAGATGACAAAATTGAGTGACAGTGTTAAATCATCGTGTTCTGCATTTCATTTCTTGTTTACTTTGTGTGTTATTCTATTAATTCTAGTGCTTTGGTCTATTTCCTCTATATGTCAATTATATATTTTTTAATATATAAGTAAAACTTGTCTCTCCACCTTTTTGGATCCAAACCAACCATGTTCTTTTTTGATTAATAGGATTCATTTAGAGGTGTGCGGATATCCGAAAAATCGGGTCGGATTCGGTTCGGATATCCGTATCCAAACCGGGCCCAAATTCGATATCCGACACTATCCGTTATTTATCCGACTTTTTCGGATATACAATATATTTTGACGTTTTGGACAGAAAACTAAATCTCCATAGCTACCATTAGTTTCCCAGGACAAAATTACAGCAATACGTTTCCAACGACCTAACAGCAAACGGCAAAGAAGCCGTATGATGCAATACTGATAACTAGTTTAGTCGTTATCGGCTGTTTTGCTTTACGATTAGATTCGTCTGGAATGAACAGGCATAAAGCAAAAAAGAACTACCATGGTCAAATGAAAGTCAACTCGTGCTTGTCTCGCTCCTGATACTAGGGGCGCTGTAATAGTTTATTTACAGTACTGTAAAGATAACAACGTCATTCTTTCTCTTTGTTCTTCTATTTCTTGGGTTTCCCTTCATCACGCATTCAACATGTTGTCATGGTTACTAATCACCCATGTCGTTATCAGCTTTTGTGACATAGCGCACAGCATGGGGTAAAACTTGACGAAAATCGGTTAATTTTTACCTACCAATTAAGTACTACTTTATTGGTATTTGGTACTGTATTAATAATCGGTCAAAATGGCCGATTTTTGTCAAATTTTACACCAAATTTATTGAAATTTCAAGGTGAATATTAATAAAACAATTATTACCAAATATTTGTATTCATTGAAAAGATTGATTTGTTGTATTGGGTTCCCCACTGAGTGCAGCCGAGCGGCACTAATGAGGGTCGGACCTTCTTGCGGGTGAACAATAGACGGCTTATCAGACCCACCCCTTCCCCGTGGTCTGGAGAAAGCTTGTAAACAAACTATTGCACAAGCCATTGGGCTGCTTCAACTACAATTTTGTCAAATGAACTGTGATGTTTTAAAATCAAAAACAATAATTTGGGACCATACTGCTTAACAATAATGGACTGCAATTATTGTTAAACATACGATCCATTTTTACATTAAACAAAAATATTTTGTGCATGGAAAACAACAAGAATAATCACGTGTTTTTAAATTTATTTTGTATTTATTTATACAAAATAGAATTAAATATTCATAGTAGTTACAATATACATATGTAATCGACTTGCTAGTTGTTTTGTCGTCATTCAAGGTCGCGTTGCTGTTCTGTCATGAAAGACAATCTGATTGTCTCAGTCTGCACTGCATATCTCTTCAGGCCTTCAATCGATATCCTTTTATTTCTTGCATCTTCATTTAGTTCAGTTCAGTTCTTATCGTGATTATCTACTATTTGATGTCTTGACAATTCTCAATGTTTAAAAACATATTAAAATAACATTGTGTTTATTTAAAAATTGACTGAACATTATTATTACTATTATTCACTTTTTTAAGAAAAAAAAAGTTTAATAATTAAGATAAGGTTAGGCCTACGCTAGGAAAAGCTCGACTCGAAAAAGCTCGAGCTCGAATATTTTTTAAAAAGCTCGGCTCGGCTCGGCTCGAGGTTGAAAATCACTATTCGCACACCCCTACTACTTACTCTAAAAAAATAATTCTTCATTTGAGCGGAAATTTCATTGATTTATCTAATAATCTTGCTGTTTCTTAGCTCATTGGTTGTGCATTGACGGAGTTCAACCGACAATCCCAGAGAACCCCCCACCAGTGTCAAAAGATTTGCAGAAGTTGGAAGCTATTGATCCTGTGGCCAAGCTATCCAAAGTGTCTAAGGGTGACAATGCTGGAAAACCAACTGTTGGGTCAGTCATGGTTGTTATTGCTAAGTTTAGTAAACAAATATTTTGACTTAAATTTTTAACTTAATGGAACCATGATTTACCATAGTCTTTTTCATAGGTACATAATATTTTTTAAGCCTTTGTCATTACATTTACAAACAAAAGATGGTCATTTAACCATTCTCGCCACTGGTACAAGGTACAAAACAAAGATTTGTTGGACACAACCAAAGAATGAATTTTTTTATATTCTGAAATTATTCACCGTTTTACTATTACATTTCAACCAACTATAACTTAAAAAACTAATAACTCACAAGTCATTGGTGTGTAGGAAGGTGCACAAACTCCGCAACGTGGAGACTGTTCATGTTAAACAACTCGCGACCCACGAGTTGTCCGTGGAACAGCAACTCTACTACAAGGAGATAACTGAAGCCTGCGTCGGCTCCGATGAAGGCAGAAGAGCTGTGAGTTAATATTTTGATTTATTTTTGACTTAGCCTAGTCAAAACAGTTTTGAGCTTATTCAAAAATACCAGTATTGGTAAATTAGTAGTTTTAAGCCTACTAAAGGCTACGTTGGATACTCGTTTGATTAGTATGATTGCTGTACTGTACAGTAGCAACTGGTTTCAACGTTGCATAAAGTTAGGCTCAGAATCAAAACAAATTAGTAAAACCTATGAACTTAATATAGTCTTAACTACCGGTACCTATACCAAATTATCCTAATTTTGTCAATTTTTTATAGATAAACTTATGACAATTTAAGAGTAAATTTCTGTCCTGTGCCCCGGTATGTAGTGTGTTTTGATGTTTACGATGGTTGGCCTACTTGCTTTTAGTTATTTTAAACCTACTTTAAACGTCTTTTAGCTTAAGCTAAATTACGATCTGTTTTTATATCATAAGTGTTTTATAGCCAGTTGATGTTGTTGTTATTTAATACTATTTCCAAAAAGTAAAGCACTCCCTGTAAAAGTAAGTCATACATATTTATTTGCCATAAGCTTTTTGACATAAAACACATTATTAAAATTCAACAGACGTTAACATTTTTCAATTACACAATTGATCTCGTTTTCAAGTAAAATAATACTAATTTCCCTTGATAGATTTTTACGACGCCAACACACCAGGAGTGTTTTAATGTTTAGATGAATGTTGAATGAATTAGAGGGTAGATTTGCTATGATGCTGACAAAGGTGGTTCTTTGTCAAAAACCATACATTAAAAACACAATAGTAAACTTCAACTAACTCCAGTTTTGATCCATTAAAAATGTACTGATTTCTCAGGATTGAACTGGCAACCTTCTGATTGCTCATGTACCAAATTATTCCTAATTTCACCCTACTTACCTAACCTACTTTGTGGTTGTTTTGTAGGAAGCACTACAGAGTCTGGCCTCTGACCCTGGCCTACACGAGATGTTGCCCAGAATGTGTACGTTTATTGCGGAAGGAGTCAAAGTGAACGTGGTTCAGAACAACCTGGCTCTGCTCATTTACTTGATGCGAATGGTCAAAGCGCTTTTGGAAAACCAGAGTCTTTATTTGGAAAAATATGTAAGTATAATCAATAACTTTTAGTTTCTGGGTTGGACACCGCCTGTGTATTAGTGCAGTAAAAATAAGATAAAAATTCCATAAACCTAAAAAAAATTAGCACAACCGGGGAATTTGGTACAGATGTTGGGTGTACCTTCCTTTTGAACATACTAAAAGTCCCCTAAAATTGAAGCTGTGCTACGGCCGCCATATTGGTAAATTGCGGCATATTTCTGTATTTTTTCGCTATAGTGACTTTAATTTTAGAGATACACGAAAAAGCTAAATGTACAAAATGTAGGTCATCTAAAAATACACATTTTTTGTATTAACCATCTTTCTCTAAACCCTACGGTTTTTGAGTTATTTGTTATTAAGTATATTTAGTTTTTTCTATTTATCAAAAATATGTGAAACACATGGAAATTGACCGTTACTTTCAAGGATTATGATAATTTATCCTATTTAGTTAAATAGTGCGATACTATAAAATCTAAAAATTTAAGCTTATTTTATGAGTAAAACAACTCCGCCACAGCAAACCTGCAGACTCAGCAAATTTCCATTTGATTGGATGTTTTATTTAAATAAAATTAGATTCAACAGGTACCTAGGTTTGCTGCTGCAGGTAGGTTATTATAGTGTTTTTTTTTTTTTTTTTTTTTTTAGTAAAATATCAATAACTTAGTATAAAATAATTAATTTTCCAAGCTTGATCATAATAAATCTATAAACAAACAAACTGCAACAGTTAACTAATTCATAATAATAGCATGATAGCTTAAGATTTACAATTTACAAATTTAAATATACAAATTTTGGTTGTGTTTACTGAAAATATGGCGATTATTCGTCACGATTCGAATACTAACCTAATTCAATTCAATTCAATTCAATTCAAAACCACTTTATTCATTTCCTGTACATAATACATTGAATAGTGTCAACAGTTGTTTAGGCCTAATAGTTATGAAATACATTTTTAACATAATAAAATAAAAACAAAATTTTACAAACTTAATTTTTTTTTTAAGTCTAAACAAAAAATACATAAATTGAATTTGTTTTTGACTTCAAAGACTATTCAACTCTTCAAAAGAAAAAATAGCCTTGCTGATGAGAAATCTCTTTAATTTATTTTTAAATATTGTTTTGGAAGTCTCTGATTTAATTTCAATTGGGAGATTATTATAAAATTTTGATCCCGCATACATGGGTTTTTTCTCAAAAAGTTTTAGACTATGGTGGCCAATTGCAAGGTTTTCCCGATTTCTGGTGAAATAATTATGACTATCCCCAACTCGTTCCAAATCATGAAGTCTGTCCTTTACTGATAAAATTGTTTCATAAACGTACATTCCGTAAATTGTCATTATATTTTCCGATTTAAAATGTTCTTTATTAACAGAAGTTTCAAAATCTAAATTGCAGATAATTCTAATAGCTTTCATTTGCTTTTTTAGAATAGAATTCAAATTGTAATAACTAGTTGCACCATAAAGTGAAATCCCAAAAGATATACTTGAGTGGATATATGAAAAATATATAACTTTTAAAGTTTGTTTTTCACAAAAGGGTTTCAATCTAGATAAAGCAAATAATCCTGATGTGATTTTGGCAAGTAACTTTTCAACGTGACTGTTCCATTTCAGATTTTTATCAATTACCAATCCCAAGAATTTCATGTTGTCCATACTTAGAATTTCTGTGTTCTCGAGTCTGATGATTGGTTTATTTTGATCACCTAATTCTCGAGTTTGAAAACTAATGAAATTTGTCTTATCTGGATTAAGAAGCAAATTATTCGAATTAAAAAAATTATTTAAAACTGCTATATCGGAATTTGCCTTAAGTTCAATTTCATCATTTGATTTTGCAGTGATTTTCAAATTAGTATCATCGGCATATAGGCAAAGTTCACTCAAGTCACTGAGTTGGGGAAAGTCTCTAAAGTAACAAATGAATAATAAAGGGCCTAAGATGGACCCCTGAGGCACTCCAAATTTCACATCTCTAATAGAGGATCGGTAATGAATTTTATAGTTTTTGTTGTTTTGGTGAATTAATTCTACAAACTGTTTTCTGTTGGAAAGGTAAGACTTCAGTAACTTTAATGCATTGTTCTTTATCCCTAATTTGCTTAGCTTTGAAAGTAAAAGGTCATGTGATATTGAATCAAAGGCTTTACTTAAATCCATAAATAATCCTACCACTTTCAATTTACTGTCCAAACTATCAATAATAGATTCAACAAACTTTGTGGCAGCTGTTATTACAGATCTACCACTGCGGAAACCATGTTGACATTCTTCAAAAAGGCAATTCTTTTCAAAAAAATTTACTAGTTGATTATAGATTACTTTTTCATAAACTTTAGAAATAGCGGGAAGCAATGCTATTGGTCTGTAGTTTGAAACTAAGTACTTGTCCCCTTTTTTGAAAAGCGGTTTTAATTTTGCTAATTTAAGTTTATCAGGAAAAATACCAGAAATTAATGAAGAGTTAATGATGTGAGTGATTGGTTTAAGTAATACGAATCTTGCTTTTTTTAGGAGTACCACAGGAATACCATCATATCCTGTACTAAAAGAATTTTTTAGGTGATTTAAAATGTAATCAATTTCTTTCTCATCAACAAAGCTAAATTTAAAATTGTTAGTACTAATTAACAACAGATCATTTTCTGAACTATTTTCTGTCTCAACTTGAGTTTGCTCCATACTACATATTGAAGTGTCCTCAATTAAATCTGCAAAATAATTATTAAATTGGTTACAAACCAAAGAAGGCTCAGTACATACAATGTCATTTGATTTTAAAATTATGTTTTGTATATCCTTTGCTTCAATTGGTTTTCATAAGGAGATGAAGCAAATAATTTATTTAAGTACTGTAATATTAACTCGTACCAAGTATCGGAAATATTGTATGCAGTGAGGGAATCAACCATATTTTGTAAACTACGCAATAGTCATATTAATATTTTATACTCATTTTTACCCATTTAATAAATTAACATTTTAATATTTTGATGGCACTACCACTATCACTCTGATATCAACTAAGTGGGATGAATAATTGTCGTAAACCTAGAAAAGTAACCGTTGTTTGCGATAGGTTTCGCCGATTTTTGATAAATAAAACTAACTATATACTATACCATACTTAATTAGTCACCAACATGAACCAGACACGAAAAACACCCTTCCAAATTTACAATGGGATGTCAAGTATAGTTAGTTAGTGTGGTGGTGCCATCAAAATACTAAAATGTTAACTATTAAATGGGTAAAAAATTAAGATAAAATATTAATATGACTATTGCGTACTTTACAAAATATGTTAGATCACCTTACTGCATACAATATTTTCGGTGCTTGTTACGAATTAATATTACTTAAATAACAGGCTCCATCTCCTTTTGAAAACCCATTTGGTTGATATTCTAATCGTGACTAATCGCCATCTACCAAAATTTGTAAATTGTAAATCTTAAGCTATCATGCTATTATTATGAATTAGTTAACTGTTGCAGTTTGTTTGTTTATAGATTTATTATGATCAAGCTTGGAAAATTAATTATTTTATACTAAGTTATTGATATTTTACTAAAAAAAAAAACAAAAAAAACACTATAATAACCTACCTGCAGCAGCAAACCTAGGTACCTGTTGAATCTAATTTTATTTAAGTAAAACATCCAATCAAATGGAAATTTGCTGAGTCTGCAGGTTTGCTGTGGCGGAGTTGTTTTACTCATAAAATAAGCTTAAATTTTTAGATTTTATAGTATCGCACTAATTAACTAAATTTATTTATCTATATAATTCTGTAAGACCAAATTTTTACCAGAAAATTGTGGACGTCTGGTAAGTCGCAGAAAAGTGGGAGGGGTCTTAAATTAAAGGTCTTGACCCCAGGGACTCGGGAAAAATAGCAGAATTCCCATAAAGTTACCAGAAAACGAGATATAACGTAAAATATCCACCATAAGAAATGCATGGGGACTGAAAAACGTCTGCATTCTATCAGCTGTTACTTATTTATTTGCAATGTTTACATTTATTCCGAAAGTCAATTTTGGTAAATAATGTTTCAAAATGAATTGTGTTTAATTTTTTTGTTTTCCCTTTTTATAATGAGTGAAGTAACTAGACAGGGTAGGGGAAGACCTGCAAGACGTGGATGCTAGACGTGGAAGAGTGTCCATGAAATTCAACAGACTTAAGAAATGCAAAAGAGAACGTCATGTAGGGCCTAACTGTGAAAGAAATCTAGAAGCTGTTTTACAACCAGTCTTTAGAAGAACGCTGGAAAATGAGTTGAGTGTTGTTTCTCACAATCTAGGTCCTCTGCACTTGCATGCATTGTGGCGTATTTCACTTCTCAGAGGAGGCCACATGGACATTTCAACGCATGTTGCCACAATGGACATGCCACAACCACAAGTAAATGACGAACTAAAAGAACTGTTTTTACATGATTCGAACTTCATAAAAAACATAAGGCAATGCAACAGTGCAATGGCTTTTGCGTTGCTTTCCGCTACACAAAAGAGAGATTCCGGGAAATGGGCCTTACTGTCTTAAAATTCAGGGACAAATTCATAGATATATTTCTGACTTACCGCGAAATGGGGACTTGCCTTCATAATAATTTTTACCTTTACATGTGGTTCTCAAAATGGAAACTATAACAGAATTCGTAAGATTACAAAACAAATCATCAATTTTAAACTAGAAAAGATGTGCAATATTGGGCTGTATGATTTCAGCTCTGATTCGTCGTTCTCCGGACTCAGGCCAAACCGTGTGCACGTTTCCATTTCTTAATAATATTAACATTAATCATTATTTTACAATTGTATTTCATTGACACATCAGAAGCAACTAATATACGACTCCAACGGAAGGAAAACCAAGATATAAAACGAAAAACGCTGTTAATTTTAAGTAACATAAAATTGATAATTTTAAAAACATAGGCCTATTTCGAATATTTGTAATTTTATATATGGTTTTTTTATTGTAGTCTAAATTAGGGGCTTGGCCCCTATAGGCCACTAGTAGGATAAATTATCATAATCCTTGAAAGTAACGGTCAATTTCCATGTGTTTCACATATTTTTGATAAATAGAAAAAACTAAATATACTTAATAACAAATAACTCAAAAACCGTAGGGTTTAGAGAAAGATGGTAAATACAAAAAATGTGTATTTTTAGATGACCTACATTTTGTACGTTTAGCTTTTTCGTGTATCTCTAAAATTAAAGTCACTATAGCGAAAAATACAGAAATATGCCGCCATTTACCAATATGGCGGCCGTAGCACAGCTTCAATTTTAGGGGACTTTTAGTATGTTCAAAAGGAAGGTACACCCAACATCTGTACCAAATTCCCCGGTTGTGCTAATTTTTTTGGGGTCAAAACATATTTTTACTGTGCTATATATGGTCGAGTTCTCCACAGTATATACAGGGTGTCCCGTGTAAACAGCCAAACTGTGGGAAATGTTTCTATGGGCCAAAATAAAGAGAAAATCAAGAATAACATTTTTTTCAAATTGCTTCGTTAATCAGATATCCGCAATTTTGTTTTTTCCATTTAAATCTTTTTATCTTTGAATTTTTATAACCGATCGATATAAATCTTGGTATATGTATGTTAAGGTAAAACAGATCCACGTTAGAAAAAATATTTTAATCCAATAAAAACTTCAAAATGGCAACCATTTTAATTTTTAAAATTGAAATTGCTTAAAAAATGGCTAATGTTATGAAAAAATGTCTAGAACGCTTTTATTTAGCATTTAAAATTTCCTATCAAACTACACCAAGTTTGATTACCATTTTTAGTTGTAAAACGATGTCGAACAAGGTTAGGCCAGCTAGAATTGCCTCATTTTACAACAAAAAATCCAGATATTTCAGTTATTTATGAATTGATCTTTTTGAACTTGGTGTTGTTTGATAGAAAAACGCTAAATAAAAGTATTTTAGACTTTTTCATAATATAAGCCATTTTTTAGCAATATCAACTTTAAAAATTAAAATGGCTGCCAGTTTTTCTCTTAACGGGGTTCTGTTTTACCTTAACATACTTGTACCAAGTTTCATAAAGATCGGTTGAAAAAATTCAAACGTAAAAATATTTTAATTTAGGCCTATGCAAAAAATACAAAATGGCTGATATCTGGTTAACAAAGCAATTTTGGAAAAAGGTTATTTGTGATTTTCTCTTTATTTTGACCCAATGAATCACTAAGTAAATTATGTCCGCCTTTTTTTGAACACCCTTTATAGTCGATCAATCCTTTCTACAGAGAGATATTAAAGGATACTGGCTTATTTTGACAATCTGGAGCCTATTCATCATGTAACTGAAAGTAGCTTACTTGCTAATAAGCTATTTAAAAGGATTATAAATTATTAAAATGAGATATTTTGTTTGTTGAGTGGGGATGAGTCAGAAGGATGTTTTTGTCAACAAAATATTGTCTAACTTCCATTTTTATGAACCATTTAATGAACGTTTTCTCCGCCAGCTGCACGAGCTGATCCCTTCGGTGACGACGTGCATCGTGTCCAAACAGCTGTGTATGCGACCTGAGCTAGATAACCATTGGGCGCTGCGGGACTTTGCCTCTCGTCTCATGTCGCAAATCTGCAAGAACTTCAACACATCCACCAACAACGTGCAGACTAGGATAACGAGAATATTCGCCACAGCCATCAACAGCGACAGGTCTCCACTGTCCTCTCTATATGGCAGTATAGAAGGTGAGATGTTACTTATCTGAGTGTTTATAGGCTTCATGACTTTAAAATCCATCAATTTTAAGTCCATCCTCCAAAAATCTAAGAAAGATTAAAGGAAAGAAAGTGATTGTCCTCTAGTATGATGTAAGACTATAACTGCAGTAACAAAACTTGATGAGTTGAAGTTGGATTCATCAAAGATTAAAATTTGAGTTTATCAACTAGGTTCCAGAGTTACATTTCCTTAGTTGAACCCGCCATTTTCCTGTGCTGCTGTACAATCTAACTATAAAAATGTCCAAGTTGAAAAATTTAGAAAATTCAATTTTTATGGCTAAGTTTAATTTAGGCTAGAATTCTAGTGTTAAAAGATTGTCAAATGAATTTTAAGTTTAAAACTTATTTGTGTTGTGATAAATACCAGTGAGAATCAATTGTTACAATACAATCTCTATTATATACTAGGAAAATTCTAAATAAGGGACATATGATTTTAGAATTATGATTCAACATTGGATTTTTTAGCTGTTGTCTAATTATTCTGAGCATTTCTTTGACTTTACATATGAGTTTTACATATGAGTTATCCCCCAAGGTTTGTCAGAGCTGGGCACAGAAGTGGTGAAGGTGTTTATACTGCCGAAGGTGAAGCACATCGCAGACAGACTCGATCTGGCTAGTGAAGGTGGGACTGTCTCCATCACTGACAAGATAGCATCCGGACATATCAAACACCTGCTAGTGGTGAGTCAGTTCTATTCCGACCTAAAGCATCACTTTCGAGGGATAAATATGTTCAAAAATACAGCTAAGGAATTGTGAATGTCGTGAGGGTTTTCTGGTGCTTTTGTGGGTATTTTCCTAGAACTACAGTATTTGATTACGGAGTGGTTTATGCTACTGTTTTTTGTTCTGTCCACAGTCGGTTCCTTTTTAAGATGTTCTTGAAATTTTGATGTGTGGCGTTCCATATCATTTCATGCCTGACAACTAGTTATATTGTTTGTCCTCAAACACCAATAAAATTAGTTCGCTTTGACATTTCTAGTGATGTGTCGGTCCCAAAAGACAGTTCCTAGTTCTAACCGTTCTAGGCGAAATAACCGGGACTGAGAACCATTGGAAAATTGTTGGCTCTTCAGTCCGATGGTTCCATCAACTACTTTACTTACTTAGCTAATGCACTTCTTGGCCGTATTATATCTGTCCAAGAATTTTATTTTACATTCTTTTGTAGCTTCAGTCCTAGATATACTGATAAGCCCATCATAAAAGAGCCCCATCTCTTCCAATTGCTTTATATGTTTTCCTTTCAATGTCCTTCTTTTACGGTGTCTTCCCATTTCTTTTGTAGCCTTCCCTTCTCTCATTCCACTAGTTTCTCTCTCAAACCAGATTATCATTCTTTCATCCAGTTTTTAACCTGACCAAATCACTCAAGACTTGTCATTATCATTTTTTTTAAACAGTAGAACCCAAGATATTTCACACAATACTGGCTAGTAACGACAAATTAGAGGACGAAACACAACTCACACACGCTCATAACCACTCATAAAAACGGTCATTGCTTCTAAACTGTAATTAATTAGCCTACTGTGTTGATTGTTTGCTGTTTCTGTAAACTTTTCAGGATCTTTGGCTGTCTTAAGTTTACTTATGTTTCTAAGTTCACCAACTAAAATGGTCTCTCAATCACCTGACGTTTTCATACATTTATGCCTACCAGATTAACGTTTAGGCAAGGTTTACTGTATTGTCACATCAATGTCAATAACATTTACAAAATTATAATGTGCTGATGTAATGTGTGAACAGAAAGTGCTGACACCACTTCTGAAGACCACTAAGCAGCCGCCTGACAACATGGAGGAGTATAGGACAGAGTTTGGGTCGCTAGGTCCGATGCTGCACCAGGCTGTTGTCAAAGCTCGCACTGCTGCTACTACACCCAACTTGGCTCTCACTCAGCCCACCATCATACACTCTGGAGCCAGTAAGTACAACTAGATGATAGTTGTCGTTACAGGAGCCCCATTACAGTTTCTTTGGATAACATTGAGTTAAATAAGTTTGTGTTCAAGAAAATACTCTAGGCCAGGAGTTTGTTTTGATGAATAAACGGGTAGCAGAACTTACCTTAGAAAAAGTACAGGTTAGCCACGAGACTCATAAAATACACAATGATAATCATTTTACTTAGTTTTATTGAAGAAGGAATCTGATCAAAAATTTGAACTAAGTCAAATAAAAAACATACGTTCTTCTTGTACAATTTTGTTGTACATAGCTGTAACGCCAGGAGCATTTTTTTAGCGGGCACATCAAACGCTTTTGTTCAAATCTCCCCACATTCAAATCCCCTTAAAAGGGAAGGCATTAAAGTTCATAAAGATTGCAACTCCCACAAAGTAAGTGAAATTGGTTTGATTACAAAATGTTTGATCAAGTGCAATCAGTTTGGTAAGCATTGGTTGCAGTTTTTTCCCCAAGGCAAACACAACAGTGTTTTGATGTTTTTGACAGTAAAGAATTGTAAAAGCTCTCCTAAAGGTAGCATTTGTTTTTATGTGAACAATTGATTGGTAAACACAAATTATTGTATTTTAAACTTTAATATAAAAAAAAGAGCATTGCTCATTACTGCAGGTGAGATATTTATACTGTTTTTTAGTATATTGTTGCGGCTTGGGAAAAAAAAAACAACAATAAACACCCTCACACAGTCCAATCAGGCTCAAATAGTCAGTGAAAGGCTTGTCATGTCCTTTGCTGGACTTAATTGTAATGTTACTTTGAGAGGTTGTTTTATCGTTAAATATACTAACGTAAGCTGTAAACTTGATAACTTAGTAACGTCTGTCGCAGCCATGAGTCAGGCACGTACCATCACAATGCCCGGAGCCCCTAGACCTGTTCATTCAGGTGCTTTAGGCAGTTCTCAGCAGAAATACGTCATAGTTGCAGCCAGACCACCGCCTTCCCCATCACCAGTGAGTAGTTTTGACAATCTTTTCTAACACTATAACTTAAACCAATAAACCTGAGAGTTTTCACCTAACATAATTTTCTTCTAGGTATCTATTCCTGGTTTGTCGAGTCCTGTCCCATCCCCATCCACGCAAGGGCAAAGTCATCCTCGATCTTTATCTGCAACCGTTCCAAGATTCACAACCCCTCCTCTGGGTAAAAGCTTGAACTTACCTCCTGTAGGACAAAGATTCCTAGGTGATACAAATCTGTGCAAAACACAATCCATTTCCTCTTCCAACACCTCCTCACAATCTTCAAAGGTATGTTTGTGTGCTTTTCTTTGGTACACGTTTTGGTGAGGTTTGCTTATTAGCAGGTTTACAAATTATGTCTTGTAAAGCTACACTTTATTCCGTGTTAAGTGAGATTTTCACAAATTAACATTTACAGCAATGGGTTGAATTTGTTGATGCTTAAAAGAGATTGAGTGAAATGAATAGGGACACATTTCTTAAATAAGATTTAACATGCTAAATTAATTTATTTTGGACAAATAAAATAAAACAAAATTATTTCTGACAATAATTTACTTCATTAATTGGTAGGCCTAAGTTTTGCATGACATTTATTTTTAAAAGTCATAATTTACAACTTTCTATGTCAATTTTACTATACAAAATAATAAACCTCGTTGGTTAAAAAGAAATAAAAGACTGGGTGGTTAAAAGATTAAATGCAGGAAGTGAATTGCTTGAAATTGTGTAATTTTAAAGCTATTCGTGTTGCTTTGGGTATCTTGTGGTAAGGATCTTAACATTACCGGGCTTCAACAATTTAAAAATTATTCTTTTGAAATGACCTATACAAATAAATTGTCAAATTTGCCATTGACTTGAAAATGTAAAGGTAAACAAACAGATAAGTTATGATTAGATAAAAATTTAAATATTTAGATTAGAATAGTAGTAGTTGTATAAAACCGGCTTTTAACACTACTGAGCTGAGATTTATTTGTTTGATTTATCTTTATTCTTGCTACAAGTTATGCAATCTGTGCAAGGGGGGGGGGTGTTTGAGATGTTGGACAACTTCCTCTAAAGTGTAATGTTCTCAATCACATAATGTCACTGGCATTGGAATTATAACAATCTTACTTCATAGGTTAAGTAGTAACAAATCCATTAACACTTTGAGATACAAGGGATTAGTACCCATACACTTTTTGGGTCCAGGAGGAACTCAAGCTCTAAAATGTTGACATAAATAATAATTTCTCCGTAACTGATGTATAGGAGGAGAAAAAGAAGTATATTGTAGGTTAAACACTGTCCTTGTATAGTTGACACCCTGTAAACCATCTTGACTTTCCTACCCACTTGCTGTATACGAAGGTGCACCTAGACTAACACCGCAGAGCTTAGTACTCTAACTGCTTGCACGGCATGGCTTGACTAACAGGTGCAGGTGCCGCAGTCAGGCGCGTTGGTGAAGCTAGGTGGCAACAAACTGGTGGTTGTCTGTATGCCTAACTCACCCGCAGCCACGTCCGCTTCCATCATGGCTCAGGTAACGGAAATTGTACATGTTAATTTTTCAGTCCGAGGAATTTGTATGAAAAGGCTAAAACGTAATTTGTCAAACAATCCTTCACATTGCAACCTTCTTAGTGCTACTGCGCTCTACCCAATGTCATAATGAAAATTGGTAGGCCACGCTAGGAGATTTGAACCTAAATTGCAAGGCCAGAGAAAAAAATCATATCTTCCTTGGTTTTGCCACATGTATTTCCTATTAGCGTCAGGCAAAAAGTATACACTTGTCGGCAGATTAAGTTAAATACAAACAAAACTATAACAGATAAGCCTATCTACTAGACTCGTGTATATTGCTACAGGAATGACTGGAAGCAGATCTGTAGTCCTACTTGTGATCCTGTTAAACTTATATGGATAACACCTTATGAAGTGGATATTTTTGTAGACAATGGCCAAGTTCTAAATAACCACAGGAACAAATGTAGCAAATTTACCACAAGCTTATAAAAAAAATATTAAGGATTGTTTGATGAGGAACATTTTAACTATTATTTGTCAATGGTACACAATTTTATTTATATTTTGCATGGCTTTAAATGGTTGGACGCTTTTGGATTATATCATAGAGAATAAGAATTAAATATAGACCCACAGTCGTGCTGCGGTTACCAAAGGTTCTGGCGCATACCACTGGGAGCGCCATGTAGTTACGGTGTACCCACTACGTAACTATACGGAGCTCACAGCGGTGGGTGCTAGAACCTACGGTGACCGCAGCAGGGCTGAAAGTCTATATTTTAATTCTTTTTATCTATGATTATTTACAGGTATTGCAGGATATTTATTTGCAAATCGAGGCAATGTGTTATGCAATGTTGCTTTAGTGTGTTTTTCTGTTTTGGTAGTTTTCCTCCCTAATGCTTGTTCGGGTAACTGAGCACCATCTATAGAGTATATTTATGTATATCTATTCCTGTAACTTCCCATTTCGCTCTTGGAAAATATCAAATATTTTGTCAATCAAAACTAACTTTTAAATGATAATAGACGTTTACTGTTTTTATTACTTTTGAAATCAGAAAATTAATTTTATTTGACTAACTTATTAGTCAAAAAATGGCTGAATCACTGAATTGGTTTAGTTATTTATGTTAACCTATAAACACTGTCGATACTCTCTAAGCGGTAACCAGTGTTAACATAAAAAATACAGGCTTCTGTATGAGTCGGAAGAAAAATACTCAGATGTGTTGTGCATGTCATGTTGTAAGCTTGTACCTTTATTTAATTTTAAATATCTTGCTGGGCCTGCCCTTTAATGGCTTGTTATAAACTAGAATGAGATAAGAGTATTTTATTTTTTTATTTTAATATGCTGTTCTCGTTCTGTTTTAATTGCACATGATTTTCTATGTTAATGTAAATTTAACTAGCCTTTCTTAAGACATTGTTCTTTATAAGAACTTCTATTTAAATTTCACAGGCATGTAAAGCTTCATCTGGAACCACTAACAAAATGCAATTTTTGCATGACCCTAAGTGTATGAAAAGAGTCGGGATTGCCCAAATAACGTGAACATTTTTTTATTTTATGAAGCCTAGCTCCAGTTACGACCAAGCTAGCTACTTCAAATCTGATACTAACACCGTGTTTTTTACTTCATCTACTACTATTGTAGCCGGTTCCCCAAAACAACGTGAGGGATAATTGATGCTACTGCCAAATATGAATGACGTTCTGTGAAGGAGTAGGTTTCAATAGTAATGGAATCAATCCCTGTTGTTTCCGGTTGCCAGTTGAAAATTCTCTGAACTTTGGTCCTGGCTTTTAACGAGACTGATAAACCACAGCAGTTGGCCAACATAACTCCTCACGCGTTTTATATGTCGAATCAAAACACTTTACTACAGTCAGATCCTCATCTGGCAATGAATTTCCAAAGCGGTTGAAGACCAAGAGCATAGAATTTGTGATCCAGAACACGATTTATACTTGGTGGGAGCATCAATCCTCTTTCACAAAATTTTTAAACATAAGGACAAGACTTCATATTCCCATAGGGGTTTGTCTTCCTCAGATAGGAACTAGATTGCTTGGCTGCGACGAGAGCTCGGATAGATACCTTAATTTACAGATAACCCTAGTATTTTCCAACCCAAATAAACGTATCACATTTAAACTTCCTTACAACCTGACCTACTATGCTGTTTGGTCTCACCATCACTTAATTTGTCAGATATTAAACTATTTTTATAACTTCCAGGCTGGCCAACAAAACAAACTGTTTGTGACTTCACAGGGACAACCAATCAAGATGGAAACCGAAGAACAGATCATGGACGTCCACGTCACATGACGGACCCCGACCTTAACTCAAAGCAAATCAGGGATGAGTTAAAAACAATCAGTTGTCTTGTGAAATATGTACATAGATGTTTTTATTTGGGATTACCCTCTCTAATTTATTATTTCGTAATCATACTGTCACAGTATATTTTAGTTGTAATCAATATACAAGAAATATAAACAAGGTATGGATGTTATTAATTGGTATATTATTTTCTGAGTTGACCTCCTTATACTGTAAAAGAGTTACTTTTCCTTTTATAATACACTAGCAGCAAAACCTGGCGTTGCCCAGGTCTAAATACCATGCACAATAAAAAACACATAAGTCCTTAATCAAAATGTTTATTTTTCTATCCTCGATTTGCAATCTTTTTCAATTCCCTGTATTGTTACAATACAATCTTACTTTGCAATATTTTTCCCTGCAGCACATTCATATTTGGCTTTGCTGTCCCCAGCAGCACATTCATATTTGGCTTTGCTGTCCCCAGCTGTCAATATTCTTTGTTTATTTTTAAATATGAATACTTAATAGATAGACATTGGAAATTGCAGAGCCACATGGGTGGAGGGAGCCCCAAGGGAGTTCAAAAATGGGAATGGGACAGAAACCTTCCCGTAGTGTAAAAGCTTCATCACGATCGGATAGCCGGTTTGGTAACGCATTAAGGACAAACATAGATTTGATTTTATATTTATAGATTATGAAAGAAGGAATGCATACACAACTAACCTACTGAAAATAAAGAGTTCCAGGCAGATGAAAGCACACAAGTTTACAACATAATTAACTTGATATTTTGCCCCAACTAGGGGCTTCTTCAGAAGAAAGACGTACAATGATAGAAGGATGATCTACTTCTTTATTCTGAAGAAGACCCCTTGTAGGGGCAAAATATCTAGTTAAGTTTGTCAGGAACTTTTTGTGTGCTTCCAACTGGCTGGAACTCTTTTTCTTAAGTACGTTAGTTGTATATCCATTTATTCCAAAATTTATTTTGAGACAAAGTGCTTAAACCTAAAAAAAGTGAAAAACTGCAGTATTTTTTTTTTATAAAATACCGATACAAGATATAATGTTTAGCCATAGCTTTGAAATAATTTTTTCATCACTCCTTGACGAAAGTAACTATTTTCGATAACAGCTGATATCAATGAAAGTAGTCGTTTCCCAAGCTCTAATTTAGGGCGAGGGAAAATCGATCAGCTGATTTTCCCTCGCTCTAAATTTACTTTCCCTCGCTCTCAATTAGTTCTCCATTTATTCACTACGCGCGCCAGTGTTTTGTTACGGTTTAATTTAATGATTTTAATCAGCTGTATGTATTTTTAAAAGTTGTGTTATTCTTTTATTTTGATGTTTAAACAAAATTTATTGAGAAATATACGTAGGTTTCTTTTTAGAAGATTTTATTTTATTTTGATGTTCAATCAAATTAATTGAGAAATCAAATTGTTTTAATATACTGAGGTCTGCTATTCTGTGTTTGTGTATTTTTGCGTCGTGATGAAAAGTATCGTTCATAACTCGTACCGAAAGTTATTATCCGGCACTTGCTCCATTATTCCCGTCCTCGGCTTCGCCTCGTACGTGAAAATAGCTCTCACATACTCGGCTTCGCCTCGCACGTGAAATTGGGGTTCCCTGTGTTCGGCTTCGCCTCACACAAAAACTTGGGCGCGCGACGGAAAATGCCACTTTCGGTCCTAGTAATGAAATATACTAATATGGCCTAAATTCAAATTCACAACTCTAAAATGACCAAGTTTAAGTGATTGAATGTTGTCCTTAGCCAATTCCTTAAAATTATCTTAAGATTCAGGGATAAAGTAAATTTAAATTACAAATAATTCTAATAAATACACTTTATTAGAAGTATACAATGTGTTACAAATATATACATGGGAAGATTTCAACCACTGCAGCAACAGCTCAGCGATTGGTTTATGTAAAAAACACGCACAAATACATCTAGAACCTGAAATGGCAAAAGAAAATAATTAGTTGGACTAGACCTATTTTGGTGAAAAGAATATCACACAGTAAACTTTTAGATAACTAGTGCACACTCATTTCTCTTCTTACAAATCATTAACCCCTTACATAATTATAAAATCAAAGTAATTTCAAACAAACCAAACTTCTGAACTAAACCTAACACTACATAAAAAGAATAATTTAAATTTTGAGCCAGCACAAATGGAAAATATTAAGTACAACACATCAATGTTAATAAAGAAAGTAAAGACAATTCACAAAAACAACATTTTTACTCTCTTATGTTTGTTCTCTAGGCCAGATTTGTCACTTTTGGTCCCAAGTTCTTATTTGGTTAAGTTGCTAGAACTCTCTGATTTATTTTCTATTTTACTTTCTATGTCTGTAACACAAGCCACTAGCAACTTACCTAGAGAGCTGATGGATTAAAACTTGTCCACCAACTGAAGAATGTGCTGCTGTTCCATCTCCTTCCATTCTGAATCCCCTGCGTCGCCCAGGTTTCCTGCATACTCTGCAAGAAAACACTTAAGGTTAATGGAGAAAACCTGCAAAAAGGAATACAGTAGAGTCCCGCAAACTCGGCGTAATGTGGACTGCAAGGGTGCCGGGTTATTGTGAACTAGGGTTAAAAATAAGAACAATACGCAGTTTTTAAGCTTTTTAACCGCCTTTTTTTATTATATTTATATTACAAGTCAGTATTAAGTCGTCAGATTTATAGTAAAACAAATCCTTAGTACCAGTTGCAAATAATTTGACTTAAGCTGGCTTGAGTCCATGATCAACTTGGACTCAAAAAAATCAGTAATTTTCTGAGCCAGGTGATGGCCGAGTTATCTAGACTGCCGGGTTATCAGTGCCGAGTTTGCGGGACTCTACTGTAGTGGGAAAACATTTATTTTGAAACTTTGAAAACTATTGAGTGTACATAATGAACCTTTAGTAAAGGCTTTTAAATAAGTTAGTGAATCTTAGGAAGAACAGTTTTAAAGTACTACCATAGCGGAACACTACTGCACAATTAGAATTATTACATGTGATATTGGCTGATTTAGTTGTCAAAGCGCTCCATCCACTAAGCTAAACTGCTAAGCTTTTTGACTGTCCTGAGGGTTCAAGTTGAAATCCAGTCCCCCAGATCAACTGTCTTTTAGCTCTGTGATAATGCCTGGACCGTTGACTCGGAGCCAGTCTATAGATAAACCTATTTAACTTGAAAATTTTGTAGCCTCCGAAGAGGAACACTTTCTATTGTGTTGGAGAAATCCCTCTACAAAAGCCCATACATTTTTTTTTAAATTACATGCGATTAAGCAATAGGACACAAAAAGTAAACAATGTGTGTCTTGTTAAGCAAATAATGAATCGCTCATTTACGTACAGTGATTCATTCCATTAATTGAAATTAAAGTTGGCAAAATTATTTTAACAAATTTCAGACGTTGCTAATAATCGTAGAACAGATAAGTAAGGTACAGAGGAAATATTAAATGGTACACTAGTGGTGTCTAGCACTAGTACTGGTGTCAAGGGGAAAGGCCAACACCGCCCCGCCTTGCTCTCATTGTACTACAACGCTCAAGGAAACCCCTGTGCCCTATGATAGAAATTTCCGCACAGTGCTCGTCATTCAAGCTTTTCGTAGTGTACTGCATCCAGCTAAATTATTGACTTGTGGATGCTAAAGTAGACCTCCCATCTATATGGACCAGCTGCAGGCAAATTATTTGGATGAAACATAACCACTTACAGTGTGTGCTGTCAAACAAAACTCTATTTTCTTCCTATTTATTAATTATTTGTTTGGCTTAGTTAAAAAGTTGGCGTATTTGACAGAAATCAGCGCACTCTGTCGGTGGCTCCTACTGTACATCTACTGGTTACAACTTTAACACAGAAATTAGATCTGTTGTCTAGACCTACCTCTCATTACGTGACGTATAGTCTTCAGTGAGCCGCCTCTCAAGTTGATTATCTGTACAACTCGCTGCTTTATACTAGTGATGCCCGATGTGCACACTTCCAGTACTATGTAGTCTATCAACTGTAGAGTAAACAATCCACCTTCCAGGCGCTTCAAATAGTTCTCATCTTCATTCTCCTCGTCGTTACCCTGAAAATAAACACAATTTTATTATATTAAGGGTTTATTCTAGATTAGTTAACTATTTAAGGTAGAAATATCAACAGTAAGGTCATATATTTTTGTTGGTTAAGACATTTCTAGATGCAGTTTTATTGTATGGTTTTATGAAAGCTGTATTTTTGTTATCATTTGATTATCAATTACTGTGACTCAGTAACGTGTTACCTTCCGCTGACTGTCCAGTGTGGCGTCTACCTCCTCTACTTTGTCCAGATATTTGAAGTGCAACTCCAGCAGACGGTCGACCTTCTCGTGATCGTTCTCTGTAAACTTGCTGAGCAGCCGTTGTCTTTGTTGGCCTCTGCAGTTGTGCAACATGCTGGCGATGATTGATACAACATGTTCTAGAGAGAAGACAGCACGAAGATGGTGTTACTACTTCATTAAAAAGTCAAATGTAAATATTTATCTAGTAAATTAATTAAGAATTATAATGTACTTAAATATTTTCAGGGCTCTTGGTTTGTAAAACTAGTATTTCGAACCATCCCGGTTAGATTTCCAAACTTCTCTTGGAGAAATGGTGTTGAGGAATGATTGATTCTTGATAGTTTGTAACAAAAATCCTGATCAGCTACATACTGTGTTTGCAGTAAAATCAAAATTGGAAGGCAATATCATGGTCATCTATCGCCATTGGTGACATCAAGAATTTTTGATAGTTCAAACTTTGCATACGGCTTCCACAATCCTGAGATTCCTGCCTTAAAAAACTTTAAAAATCCTGTCAGAAAAACCCCAAAAAAATTTAAAATTTCCCAAATTTTCAGGTTTTTAACAATAAAACTTTATAATATTCTGTCATATATCTAGCCAACCCCTGATCCAAATCATCGCCCAAAATATATACACATCTGCATTGAAAACCCGTCATTTCCAAGTAGCCTATCAACGGAGACATTGTATTATTTTTTAATCAAAACCTACCCTCGTGTTCTTCAGTGGTCAGAACTCTCTTCCTGTTTTTCTTTGGTGTTTTCATGAAGAGAGGGAAGATGGTCCTTAGTCCGAGGATGTCTACAAACTTGTTACAGTTGTCTTTTCCATCTGGCCCAGACATTGCGTGGTTCAAAACCTTCAGGGACCCGTTGCGGCTCAGCTTTTTCTCCCTGAAATGAAATAGTATGCAAAAAACTTTGAAAAGGAAAATTAACATTCAATAACTTCTTGATCAGCATTTCATACGTTTTATTAAATTACCTAGAAAAAACAAAAAAAATGTCTTTTAGTTTTTTTCAAATATTCCTACCGAGTATGTATCGTTCCTGTGATTTGATTGCTGTGGTATAAGATATATCTACTATTTGCTTATTGAGTCCGTTGCTAGTTTTATCCATATTCAAAGAAAGAGTGAAACAATAATCATCCACCCAGCCTAATATGATTATTTATCTAAAACCAATCCTATACAATTGGTAAAATACAAACACTATAGGCCTATAGATGTCTATTTAAATACTAGGACTAGGACACATTACCTCAACATGAGATTCATGAGCTGCAGTCCTTCACCTCGCAGGAACTTATCCTTGTTGGCAGTGATCATGAGAGAGGAACAAAGACAGTCAAACAAGTTCTCCATCATCTCAGCCTCTTCCGTTGTCTGCGGGTCGTGTCGCTTGTAAAACTGGAAAAAGGGACAAGTTGTTATGCACTTTCATTTTGTTTAGAAACGTAACTCCTAATGTAGCACTAGTTAAAGGGATCGAAGTCATTAAAATATACTCAGTACCGTACATAAGTTGTTTACCCTCAAATTTTAATTAGCTTGAACCACTAAATTTAGCCTTTATGACAAAAGGCATAGTAAATTAAATTATGACCAATAGTATTTTCTTATTTAAATAAAAGTATAGTGCTAAAAAGGTTGTTGCATTAAGTTTGGTTTACCCAAATCTGCAATAAGACCTACATTTGTCATTTGGCTATCAATGATTTATGCAATCCAACAACAATGTCGCAGTTAGACAGTAACAATCCCAGGATTTTTACCAATCCTTAAAAAAACTTAAATATACCCCCAGTGCAGCAAACCTGCAGACTAAGTGATTTTATAATTTCCTGATTTAATTTCCACTAAAATATTTTATTTTCGTACATTAGGTGAGCACTATAACCGCTCAGCTCCCAGCTAGGTAGATTTAGAACCTTACTAACTTATTATTGAATTGTATAAAAAGGAGGATAGCATTTAGCAGACAGAATAGAACACAACAGAAGAGACACTGAACACACAATATTTCGTCCCCTCGGGGACTTTGTCAAGTGTAGAGAAAGTGATAGAGTTTTTACAAATTGGCCGCTGTCAATGCTGTCATGGCTGTTAACAAATGTGTAACAAAATGTATGTCTCTTTTGTATCTTCTATGGCATACCTGCACTTCTTAAGTAAGTTCGTAAGTTAGCTGCTATCCTACTTATTCTACAATTCAAAATCCTGGCCTAGAGCCTTTCCTTGAACAAAACTAACCTTTGTAACCAGTTTCTAGCTTACTTCATCCACCTTAATAGACCATAGGTTTACTCCAAGAACTCACCGCAAGCTGTTGTAGCAGAACGTCAATGCCATCCAATGTCCCCAGCAATGTCTTGTTCTCTGGTGAGTTTTGCAGCAAGATGGACAGAATCTCGCTGACGTACAACTTGTTGGCATCAAACGGAGCTTTCACTCTGAGTCTCTTCAGCAGCCAAGTCAATAACCCTTGTTTTGCCACGTCCACCACCACCTCCGGCCGGAACTCCATGATGTTCTCGAATATCGCTGCAATAGTAGTTCTGTATTATTTCCTAATTGAATTTATAGTTCCAAATAGGTTACCTGACGTACGATGAATAATGGTTTATAAAAAAACCCCTCAATAGATATATTGCTACAAGTTTGCCAAAGACTGTTTACTGCAGGGGTACGCACCACAGGAATTTTTGGGGGGGACTTATTTTGAGATTTTTGGGGGGGATATTTTTTTGCTAGCTGTCATAATGAATGTATAGTTTTGTATAAGCAGCCTGAAAAAGTGTTTCTAAGTAGCTCACTATCACCACCAACAACATTTTGCCATTCGTAATTAAGATAGCTTCTAAGAATGGTAAAAACGGACCTTGCCAGGCAATCCTTAATATACCAGTGTCGAATTTTACTTGCTACATATGTTTTGGTGGTTCTTTAAGGGTGGGCTCTACCTCAGCTCGGAAATCTCAGAACGATGTTCGAAGTGTCCGCCAGACTGCGCCGTGTCGGTTCAACCCAGTTGGAGGGGAAGGGGTGGGAGGAGCTAGGAGGTTCGCGAGTTGACTGCCGCTCCCCGCTAGGCAGTGCAGTGCCCTGCGGAGCTCCCGACGCACACACGCGCAAGCGCAACCAGGTTGTTACTCGTGCGTCCGCCCGCATATCTTTTGCTTCTGCTCAAACCTCCATCATGCCCTGCCACCGACACTCACTGGCAGCAACGTGACGTTCGCTATCGCTCCCATAAGCTTATACAGTAAAAAGTAAAACATTCCTAAATATTGAGTCTTGTTTGAAATTGAATAAAAATAAAATACTTTAGTTATACTTTGTAAAGTATCACTACATTAAATTATAGTAATATTAAGTTTTTTTTTAATCAACTGTTATAATTATTTATTTTCTTTTGTTGATGTTTAAGATTTTCATTATTATTTAACTCTATTCCAACTGTAGCTACACCGTAATGGGCACAGATTCAGTCATCTCACACATTCTTGGGGATTATAATTATGTAATTAATGTTTACAAAAAAGGCAATGGTGATATGAAAACTTCATTTTTATAGTATCTTTTATCACATGAAGAAAAAATCCATGCTCAATAATATAAATATGATTGTTCTTCCCTTTTTCTGTGTCCTATACTGTAATGTACTTTTTAGACGATTCGTTGACTAACATACGTGGCGAGTCTTGTTTACCTTTTTAATGTTATCTCGCAAATAACGTCATAGCAACCTGTTACATACATACGCTACAACATTTTTTTTTTTTTTTAACAAGTATTTATTTACAATCTATTCTATATTAGAATAATAAGTAAATTTTATAACCATTTTAACATGCGTTAGTTACACTCCATCAAGTGCACTAACATACAAAACTTTTTAACTAAAAACGATTTGGAAGGTCTATTGGATTAACCCTTTTGAGCCTATATGTAGCTTCACTATTGTCGAGGAGGTTGACTGCCAGGAAATTTGGATGGGTTTATAATTTTCTTTGGTATTTTTCACTTCGTTTCTTTATTTCTTCTTTAACATAGGGTAATTTTGTATCTTGATGAATTACTTTATTTGTGACAAACCAAGGTGCTTGTAAAATTTTTCTCAATGTTTTCGATTGAAACCTTTGAACTATTTCTATGTTTGAGTTGGAAGTGGTTCCCCAGAGTTGGATACCGTAGGTCCAAATAGGTTTCAATATAATTTTGTATAAAAGTAATTTATTTTCAACAGATAATTTTGAATTTCGACCAATGAGCCAATTTAGTTTGTTTGTTTTTAAATTTAAATGAAGTCGTTTGTTCCAAATGTGTGAATGCCATTAAAGCCGTCTGTCGAGATGCATACCAAGGTACTTAACTTCGTTGGATTGTGGAAGCATGACATTATTCAATGTTACTGGGGGACAAGTTCTTGTAGACATAGTAAATGTAACTTGAACGGATTTTGTTTCATTTACTTTAATTTTCCAATTCTGTAGCCACTGAGACAAATCGTCTAATGCAGCCTGAAGGTTTGATGATGCCAGAATAGGATCCTGATTTGATGATAAAAAAGCAGTGTCGTCTGCAAATGTTGCAACCGTAATACCCTGAGTACTTGGAAGGTCATAAGTGAACAAAATATACAAAATAGGTCCAAGAACACTGCCTTGTGGTACACCTGATTCAATTTCATGCACATCTGTAACTATATCTTGATATTTAATTTGAAAAAAGCGTTTGGACAAATACGATTTCAACACTCCATAGTATGTATGGGGCAGCAAAGTTTTAATTTTGAACAATAATCCTGTGTGCCAGACTTTATCAAACGCCTGGGCTACGTCCAAAAAAGCAGATGAACAAAAACGTTTATTTTCAAGATCTTCCTTGATTACATTCACTATTCTATGCACTTGCTCAATGGTGGAATGCCTTCGGCGGAATCCAAACTGATGGGAAGGCAACAATTATTTTTCATCAATTATAATTTGGAGTCTTTTTAAGAAAAGTTTTTAAAAAACTTTAGAAACCACAGGAAGAAGAGATATAGGCCGATACGAGGATGCTTGATTTAAAGGTTTACCAGGTTTCGGAATAACAACAATTTGTGAAACCTTCCACTGTATTGGGAAGTATTCAAGGCGTAAAACTGCATTGAAAAGTACTGTAAGGAAAACTATTCCTTTTCTAGGAAGCTCTTTCAACACTTTACCTGTTATCAGATCATAACCGGGGGCTTTTTTGCCGTTTAAATAAAACGCTACAACATACGCTTGTAAATTTAGTTACCCATCCTTCGTAATGTAATGACTATTTAATGTGTATTGTGATAATTAAATGCCAGAAACTTTATATATGGATATATACTGTATAATAGTTAGTTATGAATTAAATATTCATAAGTAATTATAGTAACTAATAAATATTGAACAGTAAATGTTGAATTTTACTCTTGTTTGCATACAAAGTAAATCTGGAAATAAACATCTGGTATTACCAGAGGACTTTGGCAACAATTCGGTAATATAATTGACTATTGGATACTTGTATTCATAGTCAAAGGTACTATAAAACGAGAGTAGAATGACGAGAAATATATTTGTACACAATATTGCATATTGCAAAGCTAATAATGAAAAATAAATATTACAAAAAGAGCTAGTATACTGAGTACATTCACGTTATATAAATATTACAAAATAAAATCCAACACAGTAGGCCTAACGGCTGGTGACGGCTTAAAATCTGTCCCTAACAGGAAGTCCCCTAGGATACCTTGGATCTACCAGTTCCGGTAAAATACATTTGTTGTGAATAGTTGTGAATAGTGCTTTGTGAATAGTTTTGCTGCGACAGGGTATTTTATTTGTAGACCCGAGTTATGACTTGTAGTGGTTTTTAACTTGAAGTTGAATGGCTGAGTGGTCAATAGTCTAGCTAGAACATTTGAGGTATCAGATTCAAGTCCCCAACTTGGAGGGGTTAATTACAAAAATTTAAAAATGCTGTTTTAATAAAACAGTACTATTGAGTACTGGTTTTCTAAAAAAAAACTCTTTATTATGGTTGTTATTAGAACAATCTCATACCCGACGTTAATAAACAAACTTATATTTTGGTAAAGTTTTAAAGCTGAATCTGTGCAAGCAAGTTGCGTTGGCTGAGTATAACTGTTTACAAAGAGGACAGTATACTCATCTATTTACTTATTTAATACGCAAGCAGGTTTTTTGTGACAATTACTCCTCCGAAACTACTGAACCGATTTACATGTTTCTGCAGTGTTGGGTAGTAGCAAACTACAAGTAGCAACGCTACTGTAGTTTGCTACATTTTTTGTAGCAGTAAATGTAGCATTGCTACTTTTGTAAAACTGTAGCAAAGGCAGTAGCATGCTATATTTGTAGTAGCAGTAAATGTAGCATTCACTACTTTTTTACGCTACTTTTTACAACAACGATATGTTTTTCTTTATCAGTACTTAGTAAATCACAGTATGCTTTATTAATTCATGATTTCAAGTCCGTAACCTGTTTTCTTAATGTTATATTTTCAACATGTGTTTTTAACAACCAGCTCATGTCTCTTGATAGACTACTGAATATGTTTGTCTGTAAAGTTTGGTTTAATATATTTTATTTTTAAACTATGCATAATTTAAGTGAGACATTTGCCAATTTATTTACGGTAATAATATTAAGTTACCAGTATGGTAGAGAAGTTGTTTTTTTTTTTTTTTGGAGGTTAAGGATCACAGCTAAGGGGTCGTCCACATATTATTATGTAACACGTTTTTGCCATTTTTAAACCCCTCCCTCCCTTCCTGAGGCTGCACAATGCAAGCCTAAATCCCTCCTCCCACCTCTGTAAGAAATTTTCTTAAACCAGGTTGTGGGGTATGAAATCTTAAATCTATGAAATTTTCTCTTATACAGTAGTAAACATTTTTTTATTGTTTTAATGTTATCAATTAAAAAAATTAATTATAACAAACTTAACACTTTATATGAACACAATATCTAAACAGATGATTTTTTGTGAAATTTGGTACTAATCCATTAAATCTCCAAGCGTGTTTTTTTTAATATTTTTTAAAACTTATTTTTAATGGTGATTTTCACATAAAATAACGGAAAAATCCGATTTTCTCAAAAACGTCCAGAACGATTTTGAGAAAAATTTAGTATGTTATAGTCTTTTAAATTCTAAACAAAATGGCACAAATACCATTTCTGTAAAAATTACGGTTCCAAAGTTATTGTAACTTATTTATTTTCCCATAAAACAAAAAAAATGGATTTTATAAAAAAGGCCGGTTTGATTAAAATTAGTACCTATATTATGGTCCTTAAAATTTTGAACCAAATGGTACAGATCCCATTTCCGTAAAAAGTACGGATCAAAAGTTATGTCTTATTTTTTATTACCGTATGTTATTTCTCATAAAAACCCCAAAAAATAAAAAATATCATATTTTAGGAAAAAGCCGGGTTTGATTGAAATTAATGTGTTATGGTCCTTATAATTCTAAACAAAAATATAGTTCAACCCCCTATTGTAGTTGTTTGCTGATACCGTTTATTTTAATGATTCATTACACTCACATTCTGAAAACTAGTGTTTTATTATTAAAAATGAAATGTAGCAAAAAAGTAGTTTGCTACAATTTGATTGTAGTTGTAGCTGTAGCAGGCTACATTTTGTAAAAATGTAGAAGTAGCAAAAGCAAGCTACATTTAGAGAATTGCAGTTGTAGCAGTAGCAAGCTACATTTAAAAAGTAGTTTACCCAACACTGTGTTTCTGGTGTCATTGGAAAGAGCCTAACGTGAAGTTGTGCAGGAAACTTTCTTTTTAGGGAAATAATTAGAGAGTGAGGCCCTGGCACCCTTTAAAGTTTTGTATTTCTCCATAAAATTAGCATGGGAAACAAAAATTTTTATAAAACTCCAGCTGTTGTCAGAAATTAAAAATGAGAAGAAAAACCTATGTAAATTGTAAACCGTCAATAATTTTGCTAATTTAATAGTATGAAATGAAATATTCACTATTTGAATTTGGGTTTGCATAAATATTACAATGGAAAAAAGCGAGAGAGCTGATTTACATTACTCCTGATATACTGAAAACTGTGCTGCATTTCTTAGTAATCATTGAACGAGCCGATTTTCAACTATGGAAACATAGGAAAGTTATATAACACCACCAAGGTGAAGAAATAGAAATAATGTTAAGAAGAAACAAGATCAGCTTTTGAAAAGTGATAAGATATTTATAAGAAATGTTGATTCTATCGATCTCTTATGTACATCTTAAAAATGTTATAATCTTTGAGTAGAATCTATTAAAGTAATCAGAAATTATGACTGTTATTTGTTTTAAAATAACGCCTGTATATATAGCAATTGCTCGAATTCCAGCAGCAGGGACACTAGTATGCGTAAAAACGGCGACGACGCAAAGATAGAATAGAATCAACCGAGAGGAGGGGAAATATCGATCGATGGCTGTGGTGGGAGTGCCGACGACAGGTTGAGCCGTTGGCCGCATGGCCGCGCCACTGCACGGCGCCTTGAAGAGCGCTTGCAAGCCTTTCGAGTCTGCGTGATTACATAGTTATCATTCAACTTTTTAGTAAACTAATTCCAGGTTCTTGTTTTTAAGAATCTATTGCACGTCTCCCGGTTTTTATTTTTTCTCTAAAAATTATTTTTATGTATTAAAACTCATGATAAAGAACGCCTCTTTTTACATTTTTCACCAACCTTTGAGCCCAAATTTTTTAAATTATCAAAATTTTAAAAAACGGGAAACCTACAATAACATTTGACGGAAAATATGACACCAAGATCTTTTAAATCGGTTCACAATTGGGGCTACAATCAGGAAGAACTAAAACCCTTACATTTGCGCGCGCCAGACGGGTAGAGCGCACCCTTAACTCCACCATCGTCAGGATTTAAAAAAAATATCCACTTCTGGAGGTGTCGTCAGAATACGACAAACATTTAATACAAAACACGAAACGATTACAGATAGGCCTGTCAATTCGTGCGTTGCCGTCGGCAGGACTGGAAATAAGTAAAGTAAACTGAATCAGGTTCAGGTTATGACGGACCGACGTGGTCTCTGGATTGTCGTCTGCGTTTTCAACAGCTGATATTGGACTATTGTAGTGACTGAGAAGTGTTGAAAATATAATGGGATTCATAATTAATTGAGTTTTTTCACTAAAAAACTTGTGCTATCAATAGTTTTATGTATATTTCAAACTCCTCAAAGTATTTAATAAATTTCATTTTCTGCAGTAATGTAGAATGTCGAGACCATCCAACATTTAAATTGGTTATTATTGTCAATAATTTTGAATGGAAAAATAAATTATGAATCCCATTATATTTTCAATACTCTCCTCCGTCACTAGAATTAGTCCAATTTCAGCTTTTAATAACACAAACACCAATCCATAGAGACCACGTCTTTCCGTCATTACCTGATTCAGTTTACTTCCAGTCCTGCCCGCGGCAATATATACATGCGTGAATTGATAGGCCTATCTGTTATCGTTTTGTGTTTTGTGTACATACGGATTGTCTGACAAGATGCGTTTCTATCATTATTAGTCATAACAAGCAATCCTGGGGCTATCAAAATGAAAATGATTATAAGATTACTTTGTCACAAAAACCTTTTGTACTGGTGTGGTGGCAATTATTAAGAGATGTTGTGGGTATTTTGCCCGGCGATTTTTTTGTAGAAGGCAGCCTGGGAGTGGCGAGCAACAAGTCTGTCTTATTTCGTGACTCTGCCTATAATTGTGAAACAATAATATACTTTTTGCCAAAGTATTATTAATGCACTTAAAGCTGTTTGAATTCTTAAGCCCTGTAAAAATTAACGCCACCTAATATATTGTACAGTTACAGTACTGTGTTGGAGTAGAGTAATTCACCGAGTAGGCCTATATTGTTGTACGTTTTAAAGACGTTGTCTATTGCAATACTGAGCACACATATTGGCTGACAGTACAGATTCTGAATTGTAAATTGAAAAACTTATAATTCGTCCATTAGTTAGATTTATATTGATGTATTGTTAAATGACGTTTGATATTAAACATTTAATTTTGATTATCAGCAAGTTTGTTTTTCGTACCTGCTCAAGTTTACTAAATACTTTAAATGCTTGTTTTATGAGGTAAAGGGAAAATTGTCAGATAAATTGGTGAGGGGAGGGTAGGTTTAAATAGACGGCAGCATAAATTGGGGGGGGGGACTACTCCTTTGGCTTGGGGGGGGGATGGGCACCTCTGGTTTTCTGATAAATATAAATAAACAGTTATATGTTTAAATTGTTTTGTTAAAAAAAAAAGAATAATTTATAGTGTTTTTTTTTTATGAAAGAAATAAAGAGGGTGGTTTTTGTTAACATTTAATTTGTCATTTCTAAAGTTTAATCTTGAGTAATCGTCCGTGATATCATATTAATTGAATCATGTATATTGACGATTTCAAACCTACAATGTTAGTACTTTTATGTTAAGGATGTAACACAAGGGCCTATGTGTAAAGTATGTTCAAGAATATCATGTTTACTGAATCGTAGAGAGTTCACTAAGACAATTAATTCTCCAAGCAAATATTCAAGACCATTAGAATTGAGGATCTTGCCAACTCAAATTTTCCTTGGTTCAAAGGCTGTTAGTGACAGTGAAATATTCTTAACTTGCATGTATATTACGAGTTTCTTCCACAGTGGACTCTTTCCTATTCACATAAGCTTGCTATCCTAACAAGAATACGGTAGGCCTATCATATTTTTTTATTAATACTTTATATAATTCTCAGGGAGTACGGTGGGTCAAAAGGTGGAATATATCTTTAAATTTAGTGACGAGGTTGGTTGTTAGAAAATTACTGAATAATAAATCCTCTAGGCCTAGTCTAAAGTAATGTGTAAAACGGTTCCGAGCTAGAGCCTATACGTCCTAGGATGTGAAGGTGGGATAAAAAAAAACTCTATAGGTAAAACAATTTTTAACAAAATAAACTAGTGTACTACACGTTGTATCTGGGAATCCTCAAAACAAAACTATCTGTTCCATTGGGTTACCCAAAGTATTATGGACGCCCTCAGCTTCTTCTTTTACGGTCTCGTCCAGTCTCTCGAGATTCTGAGTCAGAAGAGCGCAGATCTGTTGGTTCAGAAGAGCATCAATCAATGCATCCGCTCCTTCCTGGCTCTCATGCAAAATGTCCACATCCGTCAATTCCTGCAATCAAAAGCATCATCTAACACTTAAACAAGCTACAAGCTAGACAATATAGCACAGAAAGTTAAAATTAAACATAGGCCTACATTATTTTATCCCTCAATGACCTAAAAGAAATTATCAAGACGAAACAAGTAGTACTGTAGAAATAATAAATATGGTCTTTAGAATATGTTCGGTAAGTTAACAGGAAATCAACATACTTTCTCTTGCTTAGTTCTAAAACTGGCAAAACTATTTTTCATTCATCAATTGTTGGCAAGGTCCAAAGCTTTAGAAAGATAATCTAATACAATTGCTCTATGAAAATAATGATAGCACATATGAAACCATCGCACAGTTAATATTTTCATTTGATAGCGATTCTAAGTATTTGGAAGCACAAGGATAACTGGATGATGGCTGTGCTTTAATTTTGTTGGATAGGTTTAAAACCTCTTCAAACTCTCATATGATATGGAGCTTCCAAGTGGTCCAACTATTCAAAACAATCTTTCTACGGTCTATAATTTTCAGTTGTGCACTCTTGTAATATAAATTCTGGGGTATTTGTGACACAAAATTACAACCATTAAAACAATAGAGTACTTAATCTGAAGTCTTTTGTTCATGGAACAGATATTTTTTTAACTTGCTGGGGTATAGGGGTAGGAATCTGTAAAAAAAACTCACAGACAAATTAGCCCTTTCAGTGCTAGCTCAATAATTCGTATTTCGTAAGACTTTTGTTTTCCTTTTAATTCCATTACCTATGTTGTTGAATTGTAACTGTATTTTTGTCACTATTTTATTAATTGGGATAATTTGGAATAATAAGACAATAACAAATATCTATCAAAGAAAGCCCGGGTATTTTTAGTAAACATTAAATAAAACTTTTTTGTTGTTGTAAATTTCCAAGTTTTCTTATAAATTGTAATGTTCTGATAGCATTGTTTGAAACCAAAATCTCATAAAATCTACATTCGGGAATACGAGAGTCTGCAGTTGGCGTCAGCCAATCAAAAGGCAGGGCTAGTGCGACATTGCCATATCGCCTGTTGACAACACTAATTAAAATATACCAAGCAATATTTTCAAATCAGCTGGTATTATTAGATTTGGCAACAACCAATTTGGCGGTCCTCATTGACTCCTTCGAAGTCACGTGGTAAATAGGCGTGGAAATGATCTTCCTCTCTATACCTTAGAGATTTTAGTAAACACTGATATATCGTCCGCATAGTACTCAAAGGGTTAAGAGGTAAGAACGTACATTTAAAAAGCCTAAACAAAAAATAGTCAACATTTTTGGGAACTTATTCTAATAGACCTAATCAATATTTGATTTAATTTTTTTTTAAGATTGTACCCCTATAATAAAAGATTAGGCCTATCTCAATAAGTGCGGTCTATTCGGTTTTGACATACCTGTAACAGGTCCACAATTGAGACAGAAATGTCCGTGTTCTCGTGAGACAACAGTTCCAACATGGACGGAACAGCGTTGAGTTGAACTACGATTGGATACAGATCTGGCACCGTAGCAACGGCATGCATCTCCTGCAGAGCTTCATGCAACTCTATCTCTGCCTCCATGAACCTGGAAAAACATTTCAAGTTCAAGCAATAAACCATGTTGTATCAATGAGTCTACTTTGTAGTAATGTATCTGCAGTTGAATACACCACAATTCTGCATGATATTGATATTAGAAAAGGGATTTCAAATTTGTTTGGCTACAATTAGGAAATTTGATATATTGATTCAAAATGAAACACTTACTTTTCAGGCATGTCTGGAAACTTGATTCTCATCTCCTGGTTCCTTAGAGCTCGCTTCTCAAATTGAAGAACCATTCGCTTCAGAGTGGCTTCGTCTAGTACTTCTCCCTAAATAACAGATCAATAACTTTTTTGTAAGTGAGGGGGTCGAAAAAAAAATAACACTAGGCCTGATGATGACTTTTAAACTGTTTAAAAAAGAAATGTTTCTCTTACCTCTCCATGACTTTCCACCAGCTTCATAATGGCATCCTGTTGTTCTTCTTTTGCTTGTCGCTCAGCTTCTTCTCTTTCTCTCTCTAATCTTATTTGACGCTCCAATTCAAGCCTTTCTAATTCAGCTGCTCTTGCTTTCTGAAGTTTTCTGATTTTACGTTGTCTCTCATACTCGGTTTCATCAGGCTCTTCGGCTTCTTCCTCTGGCAAGGGACGTTTTGGAGTGTTTGGAGGCTAAATGAAAAATCAGTTAATTAGGCCTATCAAGAGAGGGTAGGCTTTGTAAAATTATTATAACTTTCCAAAATTGTTTATAGATTCAAAAAGTTTTTATTAATCTAGAGCATTTGAAAGAATAAAAACAAACACCAAGAAAACGGGACAGTAGCGTCATCCTGTAATTCAGCTGATTGGAGGTCACGATAGATTTATAGGCATACTCCCTGGTGTGGATTAATTCTACATGTCTACACTAGTGAGTACTACGACCATCCACATTACTACCCTGATAATTAGACCAACTCGTAGATTACAAGGCAAAAAAGTTTCGGATTACATAATAAACTGTCCCTTAGTTGCCATTGGCTAAAGGCCTAAGGGCTTATTAATTAAAAATTCTGTATAAGGTACATTTCCGCCGTTGTGTCTTGAATTTCATAATTTAAAAAACATGGTTACAACTAAGGGACAAGCCAAACACGCAACTAGACATGTATTTGGCAACATGCAGTTACAAATGCCCTGTTGATTCGGGTAGCCTAAACTTGCTAAATTTCGTACATTTACCTTAAAACTAATCACTTAAAAACTATTTGATAGGCTACCAATATTTGATTTGGGTCTATACACCTTGTAAGCTTATGGCCAACTAATAGGGCTAGAGCTTAGGGTTGATATTGGCCTACCATTAGTTCTAAGGATAAAAATACAGAGGGTAAAAGGAGGTAGCCTACTCATATTTTTAACTATCCAGACATAGCCTAGGCCTACCTTGTAAGACAGAAGCTCACCAATATCCATTATGAATTACCTTATGGGAAATACAATTTATATGATTTTGTAAAATAATTAAACAGTTCGACAGAAAAAATATTGTACAATAATTGATTAAATAAACTATATTCAATTAAATTTTACAAACTTTTGAGGTTAGGTTAGATAGAATGGCAATAACAGTTTGAGTTTACTACTAACTTTAATTAAATTGAACTTTACTTAACTTATTCTTATTTTAATTTTTGCTTTTTCTTTCTATTCAATTAAATTGAAGTGTTGCCAACAAATAGAAAAAAAGAAAAATATGTCAGTGAGAATAGACTATAGTTGGATACATTGAATATGAAACACTCAATTTATCTACTACAAAAATAACTTTCCCTGAGGTCCCGGGTTCGATCAAGGCCCCACTAGAAAAAGTTTTACACAGCTTGTTCAACACTTTGAAACAAATGGTCTGTTTAGTGACTCACAGTATGGTTTTAGGTCTGGTAGAACCACAACTACTGCAGTTCTCAAACTTGTCACTGAGGTAGTCGATGCTTTCGAAGAGGGGAATTCAGTTGCACTCACCCTAGCTGACTTAAGCAAAGCTTTTGATTGCGTCTCCCACATTCAACTGCTAGAAAAGTTACATCTATATGGCGTTGGGGGGCCAGCACTGCTTGCCTTTAAATCCTACCTCCTAAATCGAAAACAGATCATGGCAGTAAAAGGGGCAAATTCACAACCATTGCCGGTTAAACATGGCGTGCCCCAGGGATCTGTGTTGGGCCCTGTGCTATTCTTGGTTATGGTAAACGACCTCGGACAGTTAGGCAACGTCTTGCTTTTTGCGGACGACACGACTATCTTTGCGGATGCAAGCACTCCTGAGGAAGCCAGGGCCAAGGCTGTACAGTCTTTCGAGAAAACCAAGACGTGGTTCAAAGCAAATAAGCTTTGCCTAAATGAAACCAAAACGCAACACATGACCTGCAGTCTAGCTCGGAATCCCATCCCTGATAACCTGCCTGAAGTAAAATTATTAGGCTTCATAATCGACCCCAAACTCACCTGGGAAAAACATACCATGAAAGTGTGCACCAAGCTATCGAGGACATTGCATCTCTTTAGGAAGCTCAAACCTATGCTGACAAAGCAATACCTACTGACTGTCTACTTTGCTTTGTTCCACAGCCATATCAGCTATGGGTTGGAGGTTTGGGGCCATGCAGCTGGATGTAAGGATATACTTTTGTTACAAAAGAAGGTAGTAAGACTTATTTCGTCCGCTGACTACCACGAACATTGCAGACCTCTTTTTAGTAAACTCGATATCCTTACAGTATACAGCCAGTACATTCTAATCACCCTAAACAACGTAAGAACCAACATCTCTAGTCTTGCATTGAGAGAAGACCAACATGATCACAATACAAGGTAAAAATCCAACCTTGATATCCCTTTCTGCAGACTAAACAAAAAAAAGGACAGCTTTCCTATGTTGGCAATTAGGATGTACAACCGACTGCCACTGTACTTTAAAAACCTTGAGGCCTCAGTTTTCAAAAACGAACTGAGGGAGTGGCTACTGGCAAGACCCTTGTACTCCCTAGATGAGTTTTATAAAATTTGCGTCTAACCTGCCGCCAAACTTGTAAATATGTATATAAATATTATTATTATTATCTTTATTTGACTCAGTCTATCCAGCAAGAGCTGGTCAACGACGTCGAGGGAGTAAGTAAGTAAGTGGTTCCATCCCCGCCAAGTCACCAATGGATTTTATCTAAGTTATAATGCCGCAACCCCTAGGTCTAGCCTGAAGTAATGTGAAAAACAATCCTAGGCTCGTGCCAGAGATAAAAAAAAACTACAAAATAGCTCAAATGTAAGGAAAAGACGTTATTTTATGCATCATTATCCATGTTCTACATAAAAGGATACTATTTTAAATATACATCTCGGCCGTCTTGTGAGTAAACAGTACCATAGACTCACCAACACAAGTTGGTTAGTCGGTTAGTCTATCTAAGGGAGTATGTTTTATGTATGACAGTACTTTATGGTACTTAATATGTATAAGTGTAAATTATATAATTACAAGTGTGTTATTTGACGTATTCTTTTTTACTTTCAGATAATTTAATAACACGTGCAATGCTGATCAAGAAGTAATTTTCTAATATTCGCTGTACACATCTTTTAACATCATATTTGGGTTAAAATACGCACATATTGGCGTCCCTATCTTAAATAATTGATAATTGATAACCCATAGGAGCTGAATTTATTCAATCAAGTCACATATATCGAAGTTCCATGGTAAAAAATATCTTAAAATTTAGGAAAAGCGTTAAGAAAATCAAATAACACAAATCTGAAAGAGTATATTTAATTTACAGCTTTCTTCTAGATTTTATACTTTGCTTTTACCTAAGATTACATCTTGTCCTTTGATTATAAAACACATTCTCTCTTTTGCTCCTAGCCTGTCATAATAGTCGATAAGGATAATGGAATCAGAGTCTTTTATCATATGGTGAGGTTGTTTTTAATGTTTTCTTTCAGCTTTCAAGGATAACAGCTGGTGTGTTCAAGTGAAGTGTAGTGTAAAAGAAAAGTCGTTATTTTCATTTTCATTCGTCTTCGTCTACAGTACTTGTTCTTGTTCTATTTTCATTTTGTTTGATAGGAAATATGGTCATAACTTATTTGATGAAGATAATTCTGTTGTTATCTCTGTATGACTAAGTCTACATTTTATAATTAGACTTAAAATTGAACATTTTCTGTGAACAAGATACTATTACAACGTACAAATTAATCTAATAGGCTAGCTAAGTGTAATTGTTTTCCATTACTAACTTACTTTTTGGATTCCATGTAAGTGTATGCTGCAACTTTCCACTGTTATTTTATTGAATCGCGCAGAAATTCGTTGCAGTTACCATTCAACCATTGTATGTTATACTCAATGTAGAAGTAACTTGGAAGGAAAACTATTGTGGTGTAGGCCTTTGTGGCCGTGGGTTAAAATACGCACATAGTGGCGTCCCCAAATCAGTAATAATTGATAATAGGCTATGCTAAACTTAAGGGATGTTTGACCATGAGTGTCTGTGCCGATTTAATGTTGGTTGGCTACCAAGATACAATTCAGTATGATCATGTAGTAACTTAGGGGGTAGACTTCCGTAACTGTTGGCACAAACAACTGAATGTAAATATTGATTATTCGATTGTTTCATTCGGTAACTTATATTGTTTGGTTAGTTAGGTTAGGTGAATCTTACCTAACTAACCAAACGATAATCCATATATTGATCGATATTTTCTTTCGGTTGTTTGTGCCAACAGATATGGAAGTCTACCCGGGTACAGTTTCTTAACTGGGCTATGCTAATATTGATTGAAACTATCAAATTGAAAATATTGATTAATAATCGATATTTTTAAGTAACTTATATATATATTATAAAATTAAACTATCTTAACCTAACCTAACCAACCAAACTTGCTGATGGCAAAAAAATCACATGAAGGTATACTACTAATCGAATCGATAGGCTAGTTTCAATTGATATTATCATAGCCCAGTTAAGAAACTGTACCTGTCTACCCCTAATAAGAACTTAATTCATTTATCCTACTACGCCTAGATCAATATTTAACTCTTTTAAAGTTCTTAGGCCTATAGGCCTACACCAGAATTTTAAATCTTTAAGTCGGCCTACTAGATTAGGCCTAAGCATCGTCTTGGACTTTTAAGCTTTGGCCTTAATTTTAATACGTAAAGTTAAGTGTATGTCTAAAGTTGGAGTACCTAACTTCTCTTAACAAATGGCCACTTCTCATACAAGTGGTTACATTTCCTTATATTTTAAAGAGCGTAATTTCCTTCGGTCTTCATTAGACATAAGTTAGGCCCCTTACTAGTAAGTAAGTCTGATCAATCTGGGTAACCGAGGTTATAAAGGTTATAATGCTCGCCTTCTAATCCAAAGGTCACTTGTTTGATTACAAGCGAGATTGTTAGTGGACCCAGATGCTGTTTGACATTGTGTTATCAATCAGATGCTATCTAACTTAAGTTTTTTAAGGTCTACATTAGATTTAGCCTAAGTTAGTAACTTAACAGGTCCTGATGTTAAATAGGTAGGCCCTACCCAATGCCATTGGCATAGCCTAAACAGAACAAAATAAAATAAAAACATAATGAAGACCAATGCAAGAAGTAGTTTTAGGACATCTGTAGGAATTTATGACTTTGTGAGTACTATCTAATTTTACTATTTTAAAATTAGCTAATTAGCCAGCCTTAACCAATTTACTGAAGTTAAATTAGGCCTACAAACTTGATTTCCTTTTCCTCTTTGACTCCTTATGAAAAAGTCAATTTATAAGGATTCAATCGTTTTCAGAAAAATGTCTAAAGCTACTAGCCCTACACGTTTTAATGGTGACAGAGATCATTTTTACGATCCCACCTTCACCCAAGAAATCAGCCAAAAGATGAGGGTCCCAAAGAGGATTAAAGTAGATGGAGAGACAGAAGATATTATAAGCAATAATCTACCTCCGAGTTCTTGGCAGCAGAATGATAAGTTTGACATGCACGTTCCAGATCGCATCCTTGTGATTGGTAAGTTCTATAATAATTAGGAATTAAGCTTAATGCTTTAACTTCCAAGCTGGAATTGCTGTTTTGAAACGCCAACTAAGCTATGTTGTTTTTAGCTTGTTGAAGCATAGCCTGTACATATTCTGTATTTTAGTTTCTAATCAAAATTAATCAGGTAATACAAAATTGTCCCTATGCCATTTGTTAAATATAATGCTTGTAGGCTACAACTTATAACAATTTTTAAAATATTCCATCGTAAAATTGGTAAATATGGTTACAGCAGTTGAGCCCTAAGTTATCGACGTAACTTAATCTGTAAACTTAAACAATTTTTGTTAAGAAATGTGTCATGATAGATTATTGAAGTTTTGGTAACATGTTTAGCTGTTGACTCAAATAATTTAAAAATAGCTTATCCCAATTAGCACTTCGGTTATTGTTCGGTTTCCACAACTCACCTAAAACGTGCTTAAAAACTTTTTAAAACTGTTCTTTCACAACAAGGCTACTACAACTCGCTTAGTTAACTTCTTGGTCGCCGAGGCTTCCTTTAATTACTACAATCGGTTTATATCAGCAGTAATCCCTACTCTTTAAGGGGCCAGATTGGGAATTCAGAGTTTTTGGTGGGGGAAAAAACTTACACACATTCACTCTCTGCCACACCTAGGCCTGAGGCTCGCCATTCCGCTAAGCCACGGTCATCCAATCAAAGTAGTATGCTTTCAGCGCCGCCCCGATATTTATTACATAAACAATAAATAATAGTAATAAGATAATAAATATGACAACAGTTGGTAATACATTTTTTTCTTTTTCCTTTTAGTTGAAAAATATAAATCCATATGGAATGACAACAACATATCAATTTGGGCATTTAAAGAACAACAATAATAACAACAAGTGTACGGTACATAGAGATAACCCTTGAGAAAAAAATAGTACGCATTGATTGCGTAAGTGTTTTCTTTGCTTGTTAATCACTTTCTAATTACGTTAGGTGTTGGTTATTGGTTGTTAAGTTCACATTAAAATTCCTGAAGTGTGGAATTGTGTAAAATGGTGTTCTTATGATGTTTTGGACATAGGTTACGAAATTAATACTACTGTACCGGTCACATTTTTGGGTTTTAATGACCTTTCCGCCCCTCAGTAAAGTCCAAAACTTCATTTAATACACTTTTTACGCAGTTTCTTACTTCAGGAAGTGCGTTTTGGGTGAGTTATGGAAAGTGAATTTTTACCTGGGTGAGTTATGGAAAGTGAATTTTTACCGCCTAGACCTAATAAAAAAAAATCATTGTTTACTTTTTTGTCTTGAGTACTGTTCCTATGTAATGTTAGTCCACTGGGTAATGTCAGAAATACGCATCTGAATTTCGTAATCATAATTTTTTAGGCTCTCCATCAAGCTGATTGTGTCGGAACGCTATTGTTACTATTGTGATGGAAAACTATATCAATCAAACTAGCCTATCATACAATTTTTTTGAGATATTGTTTGAAAGGTGTGGAGGATTTTTACATTAATGGTGAAAATTAGAAAATTTCTTTTTTAAGTAGCCTGTAAAACACATTTAAAATTATTACCTATCGGTTTTCTAGATGATGTTCATTGTTTAATTAAAAGTATTTTACTACCTACCGATTTTTTTTATAAACAACCAGTCTAATTTATAGATCAATGTATATTTGTTGGTAAAATATTTAAAGTTAAACAATAGGCCTATAATAGTAGGCCTATAAGTAGTGGTGATATACTAAATCAAAATTATTGTTATCGATTGATTCTAATCACAGTCTTCATTTGTTACACTTAGACAACATTTATATGGATTTGACTCAAGATTCGAAAAGGGGTTATTCAGGTTTGTGAACAATTCTTTCTATTAACCATTTACAATAGATCTATTTGTTATAATAACATTTTCAAAGTGTTTAAAAAGTGTATAAGACCTTACAATAGACATACACTTACATCATTATTGGGGGCGCTGTTAACTGTAATCAACCTCTCCTTCAAAAGCTAGTAGGCTATGGTCTTTTTTCAAACTTCCTGTAAAATCTTGAAGGTTCTAAAGTTTGTAATCTAGCAACCAGCACTTGGTTGTAACATTTACTATTGGATAGGTACTGAAGTAGATATCCCATCTATATGGACCAGTTGTCAATATTTTTACAAAAAACAACGTAGTTGGGTGAGCCAGACACAGAATGCGATAATGTCTAAAATTATATTTTATACCTTATTTTTGTTTTGTTTCCATAAGTCATTCCCTAAAAGACTTGGTAAAAAAAGTGTGTATATTCGACAAAATTTCTTAATTTAGATCAGCGTAATCTGTTGGTGGCTCACTTCAACTACGACGATTTTGACAAAAAATCTAACATGGGGATGGAATGTCTAATAGTCAAAGGTTGTAATTAAGCTTCTATTTGCAACTTAGCACTCTTAAAGTATTTAGATCAATTGCTATAAGATACATAGTCGCATATAAAGTGCCCTAGATATTTATTTATTTCTATTTAAATACTTTGTCGTTAACGTTGAGTCAAGTTATTTTGTTAGCCTAGTTTATTTTGTAAGGTTGCATGTAGGGGCTATAATAAGATCATAGCCTCATGCAACAAAGTTGGTTTTTAGAAGGTTTACTCATTAAAATTACTAACAACCTTTTACTAGCATTTGGTTGGTTTTTAGAAGGTTTACTCATTAAATTCACTAACAACCTTTTACTAGCATTTTAAGACACAGTTTAATTATTTTTTCACTGACTGGTTGGCAGAGTGCTTACCTTGCGTGTGCCTTGAGTGGCGGAGAGCGGAAGGGGACGACCAATAGAATTTGAGCTAGACAAAAGCCGACTGGTGCTAGACACGACTTAAGTGTACCATTGAATGTATCCTATGTATCTTACTTCTCTGTGTACCAACTAAGTTGCCTTTTGGTTTGATAATTGTTGGCTTTCTAACAGCAAAAAGAAAAAAATACAATCGTTCTGTTTGGCTGGTTAAATGTCCAGTGTATACAACCTAAATCAGTCATTTACACTGTTGGAGGCTGATCTAAACAACGTTAATTTTCATTCCAGAACCTAAACGTAAGAATGGGTATCCACTATGAGTGTTAGGGATCTAGCCTAATCAATTATATTTTATTCGTCCTAGGTCAAGACCAACATTTTGGCACGAGGGCTCCACCACGAGAACTGCAGCTTGAGAATTCAGTGATGCCACCCGATCCAGGAGTGGTGCGGGTACAGGTGAGGTTATGAACTATGATTTACGTATTACCCATACAATTAAGTTGAGGCTGAATATTTCTGACCATTATCAAACAGGTGACTTTAAACATTTGTTTTATTTGCTTCGTTAGAAAATCAAAATAAATAGGTTAGGCCTACTTACTAAACGCTCACTATTTCCGGATTGTTTGTACGTTTGGTTGTGTGGGATTATTGAAAATGCTGGATTACCTTTTAAGGTTTGATAAACTATTATTGCGAGACTAGCGAAAGTTTTGCTAATTTAATATTATTCAAAACGCAATTATTGGCTGGCAGGCTATTATTTCGTTTTATTTTTCTTTCTTTTATTTTAGTAGACTAGTAATATAAAATGATAAATACCCCCTGCCACAGCAAACCTGTAGACTAAGTGAATTAAAAATTTGCCTGATTGGATTTTCACTTACGGTAAATATATTTTCCTATGGTCCGATACGAACTCGTTGAAGAACTTCTCTCCAGACAGTAGATTGTATGAGAATGTGTATTTTCTCTGAAACTTTCTCTTTAGTTTGTTTTAAAAGTTTATTTTCTATATCTTTCTACAGACCCCTCCAAGAGTGATCAAGCTAGACGAGCACTATTTCCCGTCAGCAGACGACGAGTTTGCCCCACAACAGCTGCCCATGGAGCCTCTCCCAGTGTCCCGTGTTGACCAGAGCAAGGCTATGGATGTCTCCGTGGACCAGAGGTCTGCAGCGTTAGCCCAGAGAGAGTTGTATAGGTTTGTTTGGGTTTGGTTTGATGCATGCTTCAGTAGTTTTCTGATCCACGACTAACTTACTGACAATATTGAATCGTAGGTGAAGTTATGTGCACAAGTTTTTTAAGCGTTTGTGTAGACTTGTTAGTGATGTTTATTATTTTGTTTCTTTCCTTTTTTCACCTTAGTAGAGGCATTGTGTTAAGACACCAATTTAAACAATTTTTTAGGGGAAATTTTTCTAATTTTTGTCGGTTTTCTAGGGATTGAACATCTTGAATTGAAGATGCTAATCGTGACATTTCCTTAAATTAAACCACATTTTCATAAAGGAGTTTTTTTTGTTTTAGCTATTTAATCGCTAGGGCTATAAACAAGGTTCATAAATAGGGAATGAGTTAATTATTATTTTCTATAAAAACAGATGCAAGAAGGGTGGAAACACCCTTTCCCGTAAGGCGTAAGGCTCACATTACAAATAAAACAAGATCTATCACTTAATTTGTAATAAGTACTATTTAAAATACCTGTAATATTGATACGCTTATTAGCTGAATATTACTTAATTTCGTTGAGGAAATTTAAATGGTTAGAAGAAATTCTAAATTATAATTTATCTTTTATTTATCTCGGAATTGTAGTGTTTTAGGGATATTCTTATTAAAACGTTTTTTTTTTTTTTTTTTTTTTTATAAATTAGCTCAACAGTTTCTGTGTTGGTGTTTGTCAGATTTTAATGAGGCGTTTCGATGTTAGGAAATAATTAACTAACTCAGTAGCAAATACAATTTGTGTTGTCTCTTATTATGTTTTGTTCATATTAAAAAATCGTTTTAACTGCAAAAAAGTTGTTGTGAATCAACAGTATTACCACACATTTGTTTTCTTTCTGTTAATGTGTTAAGACCTTTATGTCTGTTACCTTTGTTCTAAGACTAAGTGTAGGGAGTTATCCAATGTGGAGAAAGTTCTTTAGTTTTCTAGATAAGCTAACTTAAAGCTTGTGACTTTTGGTGAATAAATATAGTTTTGTTTACTTCCCAACGTTTATTTGACCAATAAATCAAGTAAAAATAAAAAAACATTAAGTCTCATTTTCATAGTAGATGCAATTTTCCCCCTGATTAATTTAAGTTTTTCTGGTTAAACGTGTTTGGATTATTGTAGACCCAACTTTAACATTGGGAATATAATGCAGTAGAAAAGTTTATATCATGTGTTTTACATTTCTCAAACTGTTATTTTATTTATTTTGCCACAAACCAATACTGTAGTGTTGGTTTGGTATTTTTGTGTTGGCAGTGTGGAAGGCATGCCCATAGCTCAGGAGGTGGCTATAAAACTTGTGTTTTTGAGTTCAAAACGTGTAATTACTTCACTAACCACTTTATTATTCAAAATATTTTTTGCCAGGTTGGCAGTGTAGAAGGCATGTCCACTGCACAGGAGGTTTGTATGATTTGTGATTTAGCGTACTCATACTGTATTTAACCTAACCTGTCACCTAGTGTTTATAGCTTATTTTGTTGTCGGGTTGGCAGTGTGGAAGGCATGTCTACGGCTGAGGAGGTGGTACACTTGCGTCGCCAGTTGGCCAAGTTGAATAGACGAGTGATGGCAATGGAACTTCACTCGCAGCAGCAATGGAACCGAGAGAAAATACTCTACTTCTCGGTCGCTGCATACTTTCTGTTAAAAGGACTGGTCTGGCTCAATCACTGGTAGGTGCAATTAGTAAAGTAGGTCTCGATAAGATTAGATTAGAAATTATAGTTAACACGTCAGAGTGTGTATTTTAAGGCAAAGATGAATAACAATGAGTGTGGTATCAACGAGACTGTTCACCTCGTGGTTGAAATTTCATCCATAACTTTGTATTTTGTGCAAACTTCTCTATTTTCACCCCATGCTGTAAATAAAACATGTGATTGGAATTTCTTCCATTTGTTTTGATTTTCTGTTTATATTTCATTATTATGGTAACCCATAAGGCCCATGTAAATTTGTCTAAATTTTAAATTGATTTTTTGTGCTTATTTTTAGCTTATTTTAATTTATAAAGGGATTCTGCACATCTACATGCAAATATCTTTCTAACAGTATGCGTAGATTTTCCTTGCAATGAACACGAGCTGAGAAAAAAGGTTTTAAAGAAACATGCTTGCATTAATATGTAGATTACAGCTTTGCTACTGAATAAGATCAGCTGTTTCTTCAGTCAGGACCAATTTATCAAAAGCCCAATGATCAAGGACAGCTGGGCCCAGTTTTTACCATTAAAATCACAAATATTATAACAGAGACCGGTATGGATCATAAACATAAACAAATGACGTAACTGGCCCAAATCCTATACTAATAACATTAACATATGGTTTAGACAGTTCCATTCAAGCAATGTTAAATAATGTTTACTTTTGGGCCATTAACATAATTTGTTTATATTTATGATCCATGTCTTGTCTATTCTAGTGTTCGTGATTAAAACCCATTGACCATTTAAAGGATTAGGTTAGTAACTAATTAGTTGATATAGATTGGATACGGCCAAGTTTGAAGGATTTTGTGATGGATATTTTGGGCTGCAGGCTTACCTCACTGATAAAAATAGTTGAAACTATTTAATAAAAATATAATTTTCATAACTCAATCCTTCTTCAGTTTTAGAGAAGCACACAACCAAAAAAGCCTACAAGAAGAACAAAGACTTTACTCTGTTCACAAAAGTTAGGCGGTTTGAGGGGAAGTGATTTCATCCCCTCCACCTTGCTCTAACATTGAAACATAAGCCGATAGCTTGTATATACATTAATCTAAAAAAAGGGTCGGGGCATCTCAGAAAACCTTCCCCTTTATTGAAACGAAAAAGTCAATCGGTCTTGGTTCCAGATCTTACCATGAATCCTACGGTAATAGCCAGTTCCCTATGAGCGAAATTTGCTAAAACCATGTCAAATTCTTATTTTCAGATGAACGTGAAGTAACTGTTCGTGTTCTTCGTAGTGACTTTGCATCGCAAGTCTGCTCTCTCGGCCATTCGTATTTCATACTAGTCTACTTCAAATCTCACCTTATCACAACTGATTTCTTACAAGTTAACAAGTATTTGAAGTATTGCTGATTGATTGTCTAGAGAAGCCTATATGTTCGGTAGTTCTTTAGCATAAGTTTTAATTTGTTTGTAGTTTAATAAATTTTCAAAATGAATGGGTTTGATTGTGTAGCTTTATTAGTTTTAAGAACGGTTGTTAGCAGTTTTTATCCTACTTTGAAGTGTTAGTCACTTGAATTTCTGCCGACCAAGAGCAAGTTATTCAAGTTTATGACTCTTTCTTCAGTATTGGTATTATATATAATACAAATAAATTTAAAAAAAATGTTAGGCTAAGTAAATACTGGTTTAACTTAAAAATTTATTGGGTAGGTTTTCCAAATTGATCTGTAAAATAAGATACAAAACTGTACGTTACTTGGAAAAACTATTTAATCTTAAATATCAAGACCCTGATTACTTCTGAATTAATTAAAACATTTTTTCTTGTGGCCAATGTTACCTTTTTGCACATAACCTAAAATAATTTGTCAGATAATAGGTTAATGTGATGGAGTTATAATTGGATGCATCAACCATAACTTGTTCTCTCATTCAGAAAATATTCAGTGACATTATTTTTTTGTTAGAATGCCAGAGAACAAGCTATTGTTGACAATCAGTACTTCTCTGATGTGTAGTCAATCTATTGTAACACACACAGTCGTGTTGTTTAGGACAGTTGTTTAGGAAATTCACCTACAATATATACTTTTTTTACTAGTAAACACGTATTTGAAGTGATAGGGTCTTGGCATTTAGGTTTAATAACTGAAATATATTATGATGTTGGTGCGCTGTTTATCTTATGAATAATATGTTATTATCTCTGTATTTTTGAATGTTATGACTATATTTTTATCTTAAGTTCACATAAAAAGCTGTACATTTGGCATTTAAGTAGTTTGGTTCTGATTATTTGTTACAATTTTTAAACTGAATATTTTAAAGGTTTTTGTTTAACTTTTGATATTGTATATTTAAATGAAGAAAATGTCTGTTATACAGTTTTCCTGGGTAAATTCTGTGTATATTTATATATTTATCTGTTACTCATTTCATTGTAAAAAACTTAAATTATATTGACTTAAAAAGCTGGTGTTTATCTAATTAACTCCTGTTGTCTAAACATGAGATGCGGTTTTGTGTTTGGAGAGTGGAAAAAAAAAACAAAATGTTTGGCAAAATAAACGAGGACATTTTTGTCCGATTCTAAGACTTATGATAATAAATCTGATTCCTTCTTGGTTTAGGTGCAAGTGAGTATGGAAATACGATTTTTCCATTAATTTAGGTTAAAGTTTTGTTAAAGAGCAAGAATTATTATCATTGTACTGATAAAATACTGTTTGGAACATAATTAAAACGATCTATGATATTTTTGAATTGGAAAAGTTTTTTTGCCTTTCAACTTCCCATTGCAATCACAGTTACAGAGGTTTTATTACAGGTAATAATATTAAACTAGAGGTCGTCCAGTGGTCGAAAACTCGACTAAAAATAATGTAATGTACAGACTTCTCTATTTTCACCCCTTGCTGTAAATAAAACATTTGATAGTTGTGTAGCAGTATTCCGTTTGTATTCATTTTCTGTTTGTATATCGTTATTTCATAACCAGTATGGCAACCCATAAGGCCTGTGTTCATTTTTGAAAATGATAAATTAATATTTTGCGCTTATTTTTGAGCCTATTTAAATTTATAAAGGCATTCTGCACATCTACAGGAAAATATCTTTCTAACAGTATGCATAGATTACCCTGTGATGCGCACAAGCTGGGGAAAAAGGTTTTTTTGAGGAAACAAGCACAGTCTAACAATAAATAATTTATAAAGGAATTATTTATATTAGACTGTGATACAAGTAACACAACATAACACACTATATTTTGACTCATAGGACTTCTTCTGAGTAGACTGAAGAGAAAACTTACAACTTAGGTGAACTCTCCATCACAAAAAAGTGCTAGTAGCTCCGAAACTTCAATGTGTTTTTTGTGCATTTTCATATATTTAAAACAGTAATTAACGAACACATATCCACAACAAAATGCTAAATAAACGTATCAGCAATCAGAAACATCATGATTAGCTTATCAATTTTTTACAGAATAAAAACGGGGTTTTATTAACACATTATTAAGAGTTCGTTTGAATACTAATATTATAGACTTGAGCTTGTCGGACTATTGTACAGAAAGGGCGGTAGCATTAAAAGAAAACATGGTTTGTTTAAAGAAAGAGGTTTTATGGTGTGGGATATGGATGGGTTATTTTTCTAATATTGGGGGAGAGTGAGAATTATTAATTTAATGAAAGCCGATTTGCAAGATTCTCTCCAACCCATGCCAGAAATAACCCGCATAGCTTTTTCTGGGGTGTAAAAATATGGTTAGTTGCAGCTTGCAGAGATTTCTGAACCCGATACCGTGATGTGACTGCATGAGAGATATTCACATGGTATGCTGAAGGAGGCACAGTTTTTTCTGTAAAAGGAGCCAGCTGACATCGTGATGCACAGCCCCCAAACCAGACCAGACCTTTAGGTCAGACCATGCCGTCCTGGACGGCTCTACACACTCCCAGACCAAACATTCGTAGTCGAGACACTGTGGTGAGAACGCCTATGTACATCATGGCACCACTTTGGTTTAGGAATAAGAAAATAGGGTTAGCTCGTAGTGGTGTGTTAATAACTGAGGAAGAACTCCGGAAGAAAAGGAATAAAATAGAGCAGCGGCTTTGTTCAAAATAAAATTATCAATAAGCTTCAAAAGTGCTTAATCATCAATAAGTCACTTCATTGTTCGATTGGGATTGCTGTGAAGACATCACGACGTTGCGCTAGAACAGAGCAACACACATGGATGAAGAATTGAATAGTTGAACATGAATAGTTGAATTGTTAACTGAATACTGAGAACACTGAACTCACAGACCGGACATATTGTTGGGGGAACCTCAGACCGTCGGTGGTCGGAGGATTCAACTGGGAACTGTACCCGACGAGGAATTTAACTTCATCTTATTAAACATGTAAGAGCATATTTTGAAATATGTGTTTAACGTTTGTTTATGATGGAGTCAGGGGTAAAACTGTGCCTTTAAGATTTTCCCATGCATTGAGTCGGTACATGAGCTCAAGTCGGTATATGAATCCACCCAAACTCGCACAAACTATCACTGTCTGCCACGGTGATGACTTGCATGATTCATGATAAATAATAAATAATTCATTTCGGGGGGGGGGGGGGGGGGTCAGGCCCCCTGCCCCCTTTATATTCGCCCCTGATAGAACTTGCTTCCTGGTGCATGCTTCCAATATCATGTACCGTACTGACTACAAATGAATTGTTCATCATAAATATGGCTGGCCAGCCTCCAAAAGTTAGGATCAGTCAAACTCCGGTCAAGAGGGTACATTCACTCCGGTTGGGCTTTTACTTTAGCTTATCTCCAGCATACAACTTGAAGGGACATCGCAGGAGGATTTGCTGCAATAAGGTTTCTTCTGCCATTTGAATTGTTAACTGAATACTGAGAATAGGATTGTAACTGACTAAACTGAATCATGCTGTGAATAAGGACCATTGATGTACCCCAAAGGGAGTGTTTCAAAAGTAACCAATTATTAGGAGAAAAAAAGGGTTAGGGTTCACTTACTCTACGAATCATTGACACAATGAGCCTCCAAATATGTAATACTTAAAACACATGGCTCACTTACTCTACAAATCATAGTCTATACGAGCTTCGTAAATAATATTGAAGGTTCACTTGCACTACAGGCTCGTATACTATACGAGCCGATCAAAAATATCAAATAAATGAAGAGGGTTCACTTACTCTACAGATCATTGTGCCTATGAGCCAAGCGTATGAATTCTTGAATAATTCAGGAATAAGCTCGTATAGTATACGAGCCAAAATACTGAATTTAAATAAATTACAGGAGTAGGCTCGTATACTATACGAGCCTATTTCATGATAACTATTACACAAATAGAAGACGGCTCACTTACTCTACAGTTCATTGGCACAATGATCTGTAGAGTAAGTGAACCCCCTACAAATATTAGAAGGCTCACTTACTCTACGGTTCATTTAGCTACTCGTCGCGCGGTTTGCAGCGCATCGTTGCAGGCGTGTATGGTAAACCAATACCGCAGTTCTGCCGGCGTGAAAGAGAGCTTGTTATGTTAATGCATTGTTGAATTTTTAACTTGTGTACTCGTTGCTAGAAATCAAGCAATTATCAAGTACCGGTATTACAGGAGCTATTTTAAGAGTTATTACAGACTTAATTTTCAATTAATTAAAAAGACTCACGTAAAAGCTTGTGCAACTAATGGAATTACTTACTGTGTTATGAACATTTCTATATAATTAAAGTTGTAAATATTTTAAAATTGTTTAGAAGATTGCCTTTTTAGTGTTTTCTACAAACGTGTCTCAACTTTGTAACGTTATTTCCAAGATCAATTATCTTCTATTTAGTGGAATTGGCCTTAAGAGGAGACCCAAAATAAAAATTCATCATTGTTACAAAAGTCATGGTTTATTTAAAATAAAACAGTTTCTTCTAAACACTTTCAAAACCAAACCCAAAATCAAACTGAAATTTATTTACTTCCATTAGTTTTCTTTAAATATAAAAAATCAACAAATTTAAAACATTCGGCTAATATTTTTTATGGGACATTTTAAAACCATTAATCACTGGTACACACTTGAGCCCTGTGAACAAACAAACCCGTTCCTAGCTTATCTGTCTACAATACAAATACATATTTCTTTAATGTTTCAAACTATGGTCTTTCTTGTTATTACAATAATTAGCAGAGAGGGAGGGATAAAAGTGAATGAATTAAAATAACATAAAAAATAAAATAAACTTACTACTCATTGAGTAGGCTGCAGAAAATTCACCCCAGGTCTGGACACTGTACATCTACACTCTTGAACTAACAACCCCACATGGAAGCAGCTCCCTTATATAAGATATCTCAGTTCTGGAACCTTCTACCCCTACTCTGGCCAGCACATGCACTGGACCAGGTGATAAGGAAGCTTCCAGAGCTTTCTTATCAAGAAGTCTTGCTACTGCAGGCTACTCTTGACTATTGTAAATGTAAAACTTTAATTTGAAATCATTACAACAAAAAATAAAATAAAAATTATTTTCTCAAATTTCTATATGAAACTAAACCATGTTACAACTTAAACACATAGCCGCAATAATGTTAATGTGCATGAGCATTTTCGCCAATGATAATGTACCAATGTCGACCGTACCAATGTCTAAACTTTACTTTCAAATGGATTTGTTGTTAAATTTTTTTATATTTATACATCATACATAATTTAAATGTTTTTACGTGACAAAATAACGAAATATAACAAGCTAGATTACATACAATATAATTTAGGCTTGAGCTAATCGAAAACTGTAGTTTTCGCATACTTGTCTTAACTTACAGATTCAATTACATCCTTTGTTTACCAAACAAGATATTTACATTTATTGAAAAAATAACACTTAGACAGATCAATAATTGTAAATTACGATGACAACTGCATTAACATAACAATCATTATACAAAGAAGTATGTTTTTGTGACAAAGAGGTCAAATAGAAATTTCTTTTAGAACTATATAATTTATAAAGACCGGCCTTTTACAGTAATATGGTTTACAGTACTTATTAATTGCGCAGTTGTTAAATGCCCTTATAAACATATGAAAATTAAAAATTTAAATTATTAATTTATTTTCTTTACAAACTCATGAACAATACAAAACGTTCGCTGACCCCTCATAGAAATGAAAAGTAAAGATGATCGCAAGATCTCAAGTTCAAGTCACGTTCTCATGGGCAAAGACCTGGCTGAGAACAAGCCAGGCATAGATTGAATTTCGATTTTAATGAATAAAGTGTAAAAAAAAATGGCCTGATCTGTAGTTTTGCAAAGTGTTTTTAAATTTTTGAAATCTTTATTAGTTTGGGCAGGATTATTCATCAAAGTTAGGTTTTCTCCCATAAGATTAACATGGAGGAATCTAAATATTTAATTGGAAACTTTGTGTCCACTAA